CAGCCAGACAAAGTATTTTTACAAAGTTAGTTGAAGTCACTGTAACTTTTCACTAATAGTGTTATGTTGACTTATTGTGGCCAATAGTTAGAGTAGAAAAAGCATAAACAATTGGAGAGTGTATAAAAGGTCAGCCATGTTCAATAATGAAGAGTTGCCACCTGAAACTGCTTTGTAGTCTCTGCTTTGTGTCGTGACCACCTCGACAGCCACACACCATGGGGAAAGTGCTGCCCCAGCACCTCCCTCCCTGTCACACCCACCCGGAGTGGTCCCAGAGCTGCTCTGGGGATTTGGGAGTGAATCCCAGAGGGAAAATCCCACTCAGGGCTCAGGCAGGGACAATGGGAAGGGAACAGATCGCTCCCACTACACCAACAAACCACCAGGAAAGGAGGAAAGCCACCAAAAATGCACAGTCTCATCCCAAAACCATCCCCCAGAGCACAGCTCCTCTGTGCCGGGCTGCGTGAGCCCTGGAGAGTGGGAGAGGAGCCACTGGTCCTTATCAGCCCTGGCAGGAACAGGGAGCCCAGCACAGCTCACGCTGCTCTGCAGAACCACCCGGATCGTTTCCTCCTGCCCATTAAATATTCACGGCTTGCCTCTAAATTTGGCTCCCAACCCGGCAGGGAAGTTGGGGGCTGGAAGCCTGAAGCTGGTTGGGTGAGGGAATGCTGGGAGGAGCTTGGGGCACACCCTCTGCAGCTCCCCAAAACTCCCCAAAAACCCCCAAAAACCCCATTTGGGACCCAACAAGAGCCTGCCTCAACAAAACTCCCCAGCACCAAACCCCTGGGCTCCACCAGACCCAGGAACTTCCACGGGCTGGGAAAAGCTCTTGGAAACTGGGGGAGAAGCTGGGGAGGGATGAGAGGATGCAAATCCCAGCCTGGACGTGCTGCTGCTGCTTCCTGGAGGCTTCAGCTCCCCAGGCAGGGGTGTCTGGGTGGGAATCAGCAGCCGGACACAAAACGAACGGACAAGAATGGCAGGAAGGACGGAACTGGGCACGAGGGGCTGTGGGAGCACTGAGCAGGGAGCCCTGGCTGAGTGAGCGGCTCTGGGGCCGCACGTGGCCCTGCCCAAATCCGGGATTTAAACAGCCCAGGGGTACAAGGAGCAGCCAGGATCCAAACCTGGGATCCTCTGGAAAGGAGGAAAAGGACAGGGAAGGGGAAGCAGAGCTGGCAGAGAGGCTCTGCTCCGAGTTCCTCGCTCCAAATCCCCCCAGACACAGCCCCCAGTCCCCAAGGGCACCCCCAAAACCCCCTCGGGGGCTAAAACCCCCCAAAATCTCAGGCAGGTGCAGGGAGGTGAGCCCGGGAACCCCCCAGACCCCTGAAACAGGGGGATGGTACCCCAAATCCTCACCTCCAGAGCCGGCCACTCGCAGGTCATTGCTGTTGCCTTCATAGGTGAACAGAGCCCTAAAATTAAGGCAGAAATGGGATTTTTAGGCAGCACAGTGATCATCTTGGGTGTTCTCACAGCCCTGGTACATTCTGAAGTGCAGAGACCCCCAGGGACCCCCTGATCCACCCAGGGACCCCCTGATCCCCCCGGGGATCCCCTGATGCCCCCCAGAGACCCCCAGCTCTTCCAGGGACCCCCTGATCCCCCCGCAACCCCTCTCACCCACCCCATATCCCCCCACATCCCCCCGCCCATTGTCCCCTGCCACCCCCCAGCCCAGGGACCCCCTGATGCCCCCAGGGACCCCCAGGGACCCCCTGATCCCCTCCCCTCCCCGGGCCCATCCCCGATTCGCTCCCATCCCCCATCCCCTCCCCATCCCCCACCCCGGCACCCCCATTCCCCCCTCGCCCCCTCCCCATCCATCGCCCTCCATCCCCCCCCTGGCCGCCCCCGGGGCCGCCCCCGGTGCCGCCGGTCCCGCACCAGTCGGTTCGGCTGCCCGCGGCCACCACGCTCCCGTAGGCCTCCTGCAGCGCCCGCCCGTTCTTGGCCAGGTTCAGCGCCATGGCCGCGCCCGCTCCGCCCGCCGGTGATACCGGGACCGCCCCCGGGACCGCCCCAAAGAACGGCCCCGCCCCGCCCCGCCGGTGATACCGGGACCGCCCCCGGGACCGCCCCCAGGCTCCGCCCTGCCGGTACTGCCGGGACCGCCCCCGGTACCGCCCTGCCGGTGATACCGGCACCGCCCCTGGCACCGCCCCGCGGCACGGCACCGCCCCGCCGGAGCTACCGGTACCGCCCCCGGTAATAACGCTACCGCCCCCAGGCACGGCACCGCCCCACCGGTAATACCGGCACCGCCCCCGGTACGACTCCGCCCCGCTCCTGGCACGGCCCCGCCCCGCCCCGCCCATGTCCCCGGCCCCGCCCCCGGGTCTCCCCGGTGATGCCGACCCCGCCCCGGAAGCGCTCGGCCCCGCCCCGGACAGCCCCACCCCATTAAGCCACGCCCACAAGACGCAACGCCATGCCCACCACTTGCTAGACCACGCCCCTGATAGAGCGAGCGCCCCTCAAATAGCGGAGCGCGCCCCCCAAAATAACGGACCCCCGCCGAAAAGGAGACCCCCCAAAATCAGAGAGCCCGATAGGGAGACCCCCCAAAATAACGGACCACCCCCGAAAAGGAGACCACCCCCAACAGGGAGACCCCCCCAAAATAACGGATCCAGACAGGGAGAGCCCCCCCAAATAACAGGCCCCGACATGAGGACCCCCCCCTCCAAGCAGACAGACGCAGCCCCCGGGGCAGAAATTCGCCATTTCCGAGGATTTCCCTCATTTCCCACCTTGGGGGGGGCACATCGGGGGGCGCCTCGGAGCCTGCAGCTTCTCAGTTTAGCCCAAATCATCAAAATTGTGCCTCGCACTGCCCCGGGGTGATGGCCGTCCCGAAGGGGTGTTCTGGGGGGGCTCTGGGAGGTGACCGGGGGTCCCGGGAGGTGGCCGGGGGGCTCTGGGACGTGTCCCCGTGATGGGGACATTCACAGCTCGTTGTCCCCCTGCCCTCCCCCGCTGCCATCGCCCGCTGGCCCCGCTCGGGGGTGCCCCTCCATGGACCCCCTTCTCTCCCCCTCGAGCCTTCCCCCACATTCGGGGCTCCCTAAAGCCGGGAGAGCAGCAAGGGTGGAGAGATTTGGGGGAGGTTACCCCAAAATCCCTGCGGTGTCTCAGCCCCGCCATCCCGCGGGCTCGGGGTCACGGGGAGAGCGACTCATCCACCTCCAAGAACGGGAAAATAACGGGGGTCCGAGCTCTCCCCGCCCCGGGAGGGTGAGGCAGGGGTCACCGAGCCCCCCCATTTGTCCCCAGAGGGGGTGACAGCCTCGTGTCCCCAGTTCCAGGGGGAAAATGTGTCTGGGGGGTGGGATGGGGTGGGAGATGGAGAATGGAGCAATGGAGGGTCCTGGGGTGTCAGATGGAGCCACCTCGCACCCCACGGATCCCCCAGCCCACGGATCCCCCAGAACACCAGGTGTCACCTCCCTGTGGATGGAACCCACTGAGGAGCCTCTCCCATGTTTGTAGGACTTATAATAATGTTGGGAAACACCCCAAAACTGCAGGGCTGCCTTTTTTATGATTTCTGAAGTCACAGGAAGTTGAAGTTTTGGGGCACCTGGGGTGCACGGGGTGGCACGGGGCATTCACCCCGACATGTGCCCTGCTGGGATCCAGCCACCTCCTCACACCTCGAGGGTTCATCCCACATTATTTACGGGAAATACGGGCAAAAATAATGCATAAGGGGATCATTTATATTTTTTAGCATCCCAGGACTCACCCCTGGACACATCCACACCCCGACTCCATGAGCCCCTAAACCAGGAGCGGTCCGGGAAGAAGGGGCAGATGTGAGCTCCCCATTCAGCACGTGGCTGGAAATGTTAATTAAACGCAGGGCAATAAAACATCTGGAGGGCCGGGAGCGGGGAAGGGCCAGCCGGCACGACCCCCCGCAGCTGCCTCCTGCTTTTCCTTGGGAATCTTGGGCAGGGGGGACCGGGGTCACCAGCGATTCCGACGGTACAAAAGCCTTTTCATGAAGTATTTCAGGCACAGCAACTGAAGGAGCTTTGTGGCGCAGAGCGAGGGGCTGCCCTGCCGGGGGGCGGCGGGGGCCGCTGGCCCCGGGGGGCTGGAGGTGCCTGGGATTGGGGTTCACGGCCAGGCTGTGGGTGATGGCACCGAGACAAAGCCTCGGCGATGATGGATTGAGCCCCGTGTGGTGCCACCCCGCCAGCCGTGCGGGAAAGCCCACCCTGTAAAAATAAAAAAAAAAGGAGAAAAAGGTTTTTTTGGATGTCCGTCCTGAGGGCTGGGCTCCCATCATGGCAGGACCGGGATCCCAGTGTGGGGAGGGGTGGGCGTGTGCCCCGGAGCGTTCCTTGGGGTGGGGGACGGGGGCACTGCGGTGGGATGGGGGCACCATGGGTGGGATGGAGACACCCCGGGTGGGATGGGGGCACCCTCGGTGGGATGGGGGCACCCAGATGGGAAGGGACACCCAGGGAGGGATGGGGGGGACCCCAGGGCGGGGGTGGCAGGAACACGGACAGAAAGAGGGGGACCATGAGTAAGCTGAGAACACTCAGATGTGTCAGGAGTGTCACCCCGCGTGGGATGGGGGGCACTGGAACCCTCGGACGGGAGGTGACACCCGCACGGGACGGGGGGCACGGGTGGGAGGGGACACCCTGCGTGGGACGGGGGGATCCCAGCTGGGGCACCCCGGGCCGGCTGGGGGAGCCCCGGATGGGATGAGGGCGGCACGGACGGGATGGGGGGGCCCGGAACGTGCAGGGAGCCCCGGTCGCGGCGGGACCGAGCGGGGCCGGTGCGGGGCCGGTGCGGGGCCGGTGCGGGACCCTTGCGGAGCGGAGCGGGCCCGGCGGGGCGGCGCGAGCCCCTGCCCGGCCCCCGGTGTCGGTTTGCATCCCGGCTCCTCCCCGCCCCGCCGCCCCGCGCATTCCCGACCCTCCGGGCGGTGGCGGCGGCGGCGGCGGGGCCCGGCGGGGCCGGGGCGGGACCCCACGATGCCGCAGCTGGAACCCACGGGGGGGGACGACCTGGGGGCCCCCGACGAGCTCATCGCCTTCCAGGACGAGGGCGAGGAGCAGGACAAGGGCGCGGGGCGCGGCTCGGCCCACGGGGACCTGGACGAGCTCAAGTCCTCGCTGGTCAGCGAGACCGAGAACCGGGGGGGCCCCGGCGCCGCGGCCGGCCCCGGCCCCGAGGTGAGGCGGGGGGCGGCGGCGGGGAGCCGGGGGGAGGCGCCCCCCGCCCGGCCCCGCTCCGCTCACCGCCTCTCCCCGCAGGCGGAGCGGCCCCCGCCGCCCCGGGAAAGTTTCCAGAAGCCGCGGGACTCTCTGGCAGAAGGTACCGGACCCCCCCTCCCCGCTCCCCGCCGCATCCCCCGGGACCCGCCGGCACTTCCCAACTTCTTTGTTTCCGCCCCCGCTGCGGGCGGGACCCCTTGTGTGCCCCCCCCGCCCCACCGTGTCCTGCGCTCCTCCCCGCGGTGTCCCCCTGGGGCCGGGGCCCGCTCCCCCCTTGCGTGTCCCCCCCGTGTCCCCCCTCCCCCGTGTCCCCCCTCCCACGTCCCCGCCCCGGTAACCGGCCCCGGGCATGGATCGGTGCCCCCGTGGCTGCGCGACGCCCCCGGGACCGGCTCCGTTCGGGGGGGAGTGACCGGCACCGGGAGCCGCCACCCCGGGGCTGCCCCGCGCAGCCGAGACCTCCCCCAGAAGGACCAGGGACACTCCCAAGGGAACTGTCCGGGCCCCTCCCCAGCGGGGATCCCCCAAAAGCCCCCCCCGAGGGGCGCACCCAGCTGCCCCCCGAGTGGGAATCCCTAGAAAATCGAGAAACCCCGAGAACATCAAGGACCCCCCCCCAAGCGACTTGGGCCCCCCCCGAGGGACCCACCCACCCACCCTCCGCGAGAACCAAGGACTCCCCCAAAATTCCGTCGGAGACGCCCGGAAGAACCCGCGCCCCCCCCAAGGGATTTGGGCATCCCCCGAGGGTCGCCGCCGCCCCCTGACGCCCCCCTCCCTTCTCTCCGCAGTGGTCAGACGGCAGCAGGATGGGGGTTTCTTTAAGGGCCCCCCCCTACCCCGGGTACCCCTTCCTGATGCTCCCGGAGCTGGGCAGCCCCTACCTCGCCAACGGAGCCCTGTCCCCCGGCGGAGCCCGCACCGTAAGTGCCCCCCGGGCCCTCCCCAGCCTCTCCTCACCTCTCGCGGGTGCTCAGACCCCCCCAAGCCCGTTCTGCAGCAAAGCGACCACCTGATGCTAAAAAAAAACCCTCAAGAAATTTGGTTTATTTATTTTACTTCTGGCTCACTTCGCCCCTTTTGGGGGGGAGCTTTGAGGGGGGTGGGGAGTTTGGGGGGGCTTCGCTCCGGGGGACCCGCCCCGAAACCTGACCCTGAGCTGCTGCTTTTCTCATTTAAAAGGGTTTTAGAGCCGTTAATGGGCCAACATTGGCCGCGGGGGGAGAAGTGATTAAGCAAATTGAGCGAGAACTGGGGGGGTGGGAGAGGGGGAGCGACCCCCTCCCCTCGGCAGAGTCCCTCGGCCCCCAAACCATCCCGCTCAACCTCTCGGGCAGCATCCGAAAGCGATTTGAGGGATGTGGAGGTGCTTTAGGAACACAAGGTGTTCCCTACGGGGCCATCCCGGGAGGAATTCTGAGCCCCCGCCCGAGGGAGGAGGGAATTCTCAGCCCTCCGGGGGTCCCGAGGGATGCTGACAGTGGGAGCCCCCTCGCTCCTGATTGTCCAGGTGTAATCTCGCTCCGGTGATGCTTTTCCGCGTGTAATTTCCCCGGATCCACGGGGAACTGCGTTCCCATGTGGAGCCTACATGGGATAACAGTGTTTGTAATGGCTCGGAATCCCGGAACCCAGCTGGTTCGCCCGGAGGGTTTTCCGTATTTTGAGGGTTTTCCTGCTTTTGCTTTCCTGGAAGCAACTGGTTGGAGCGGCCGTGAAGTGCAAATCCCGGGATGGGGAGGGCAGATAAGCTAATTATCCCGGCTGGATAAAGGTTGTATTCCCAATTTGTCACTCCTGGGATTAGGAGGTTTTGGGGATGAAGCAGGACTGACCGCGATGCCAAACACTGGCAGGGAATCCGGGATAATGAGCAGGGATTGGGCTCGGGATCCGTCACAAGCGGCCACTAACGATGATTTAATGAATCCCAGAAAAGGGATTAATTAACAGGGGCTGGAGCGGGTGTCGCCTCCCGGATGTTTCAGAGGGATGGCTGGGCTTGGGAAAGCCTGGATTTGGGCTGAATTCCGACGGAATGGGGCCTCCGGTTGGTGAGGGGCGTGTGGGGGTGCTGGGGGCGGGTCGGGGGATTGCGTGATGCTCTGGATGCCACGGGAGAGCAGCAGAGCTCTGTGCCCAGCACCAAGCCCCTTCTGTGAGCCCCCACGGTGTGCAGCACAGGGAGCCAGACCCCAGCATGGGCACGGTGTCCCCAGGCCCACATTGGATCCATCTGGGCACAGCACCCTGACCCTGAGCATCCTCAATCAAACAGAAGAGTCAGGACAGAGCATCCTTGGTCCTGCTCTGGACCCATCTGGGCACAGCACCCTGACCCTCACCCAGACCCAGCAAGGCTCAGCATCCTCAATCAGACAGGAGACTGCAGGACAGAGGATCCTTGGCCCAGGTCTGGATCCAGCACCTGTGATCCTGTGTGTGCAGCATCCTCAACCCCACACCAGGTCCTGCTGGCTCAACATGATCGATCTCCTGCTGGATCCTGTTCCTGATCCCTCCAGGCATCCCTGACCCCGTCTGGGCACAGCATCCTGGATCTGACCCTGGATCCACGCGGGCTCAGCCTCCTCACTCCTCACCTCGGCCTCTGGGAACAGAATCCTTGATGGAGCTGGACACAGCAGCTGGATACACCCAGGCACAGCTTCCCAGCGCTGTGCTGGACACAGGACCCGTGATCCCTCCTGGATACATCCAGCCACAGCTGGACAATGCACCCTGATCCCTCCTGGATACACCCAGGCATAGCTTCCCAGCGCTGTGCTGGACACAGCCTCCCAATTTCCCCACGGATACATCCAGGCACAGCTTCCCTGTCCTCTGCTGGACACAGCACCCTGATCCTTCCTGGATATATCCAGGCACAGCTGGACACAGCACCCAGATACACCCAGGCAGAGTTTCCCAGCCCTGTGCTGGCAGCAGCCTCCCAGTCCCTCTGGATCCAGCCCCACATCCCCACACGCAGCACGGCCCGAGGGCACCGAGCTCCAAACCCTCATCCTCAGGATGAGCCCGGACACGCGGAGGAGCTCCGGGGTGGCAGGAGGCACAGCCTGCCTTGGGAACATCCTTCCCCCGTTTCCTTGTTGGTTTTGCCCCGGTGTTGGAGGGAAGGAGCTGATCTGCAGGACGCAGCCATCCCGGAGGCCATGGCACCCACCCAGGTGCTGTGGGTTGAAGGGAGAAGGAAGGTTCTGGGAGAAGAAACCCAAACCCCAGATAATCTCCGGGGCTGGGAGGTGCTCCGAGGAGGTGGCCAGGAAGGTGTTGGATCCAGGGGATGGATGAGTCTGCCAGTGCCAGCGCTGATCTGACAGCCAAACAGCTGGAGGACTTACTTTGGAATACTGGGAATTCTGCATTTCTCCGCTCCAAAATCTGGGATATCTATGGAAATCTGGGGAATGTTTAGGAATCTGGTTACACAGTGCCTTCCCACACTCCAAACCAGGAGAAGAAGTCACATCCCTGTGCCAACCCACCAAGCACCAATGGATGGATGCTCCTGCTCTTCAATCCGTGTGAATTCATTTTGCTCCTGAGTTACTTCCAGCTGGGATCCTGGAATTTGGGAAGTCTCCGTGGTCCCCAGGATCACTTCCCTGGCAGTTTCTGCCCAGGGAGAATTTTGGGGCTCTGCTCTGATGGTGAAAGAATTTGCTGGAATCTAATGATGGCATTGTTTGGAGCGGCCTTTCTGCCAATTTTCCTCAATTCCAACCAGGAATTTGGGACCTGTGAGGCTGTGTTTGGCTCCTTGGGATCATTCCCAACGACACAAAGGTCTGCAAGGTGGATGGAGAGGAAATACCCTGGATGTGCCTGAGCTGGATGGATGCAAATCCCCATTGCCACGATGCCGGATCCATTCCATCAGGATGGTGTGGAGCTGATGGGTTTTACCCCAAACCCAGAACGAGAGGGATCCATACTGGGTAAAACCTCATCCCAGCATCTTCCTCCCGCTTGGGAAGTCGATGGGAACCAGGCACGGAGCAGCGACCATGCACAGGATTGGCACCATTCCCAAAAAAACCAGTTTAACCCCAGGAATTCGAGTCTGGAGGCGAGGATTTAAATAAATCCAAACCTTCCTCAGGCGTGGAATTCCATCCAAACAGCTCTCCCGACGCCGTGCCGGTGTAATTAATGCACCTCGGTGTAATTAATGCGCCTCGGCAGGCTGCGATCCCAAAATAAATGAGGGAAAAATCCATAACCTGGACCTATTCCGGCTTTTTTTGCGCCACTCCTGCGATGAATTCCCGAGGATACAGAGCCCTATCTGTCTCCTAAAGAAAATAGATCCTTAACTGCGCTGCTGCCAAGGAAAATGATTAAAATACGGATTTTTGGCAGGGAAAAGGGCTGCTCCAAAAACCGGGCGGGTCTTGCTGGCGGCTCTGGCAGGGCCTGGAGGGATTTTGGCACTGGGATGCAGATGGAGGTGTTGGAATGGGGGGATTTTTCTGGCGTGAGGGCCCGCTCTCAGCATCCTGGGACCGCGGCAGTTCCTCCTCCTTCCTGCTGCGCTAATTTGGGATTTTCTCATTTATTTGGGATTTGCCCCCCACCAGCGCCGCCTTCCTTCCCCACCTGGTAAATATTAAGGAAAAACCCCGGTTTTTCCCCACGTTTTGGCTTGTCCTCGTTGCTGTGTGCAGCTGCTGGGCTGATCCAGCCCTTCCCGGCCCCGAGCCCTCCCCGTGCCTCAGTTTCCCTGCTGCCAGCCTCTGCAGGGCTGCCGCACACAATGGCCCCTTTATCCCGCTCCTTAATTATGCTCTTCGGCTAATTACCCCGCGGGCGGGGTTTGCAGACCTACAGGAGGTTTCCACCCCCCGAACCTCCCTCCTCCCTCCTTTTCTAACACGATTCCCAAATTAAAGCGATGAAGTAAGTGCTCGGGGCGCCTCTGCTCAGCCCTGGGATTGTTCCGGGACTGAGGCGCATTCATCATCCTTCTGGAATTCCCAGCAGCTGCTTTTCATTAGTTTTCCTTCCTTGAAGTCGCGGGCGGGAGCTCGGGAGGGAAGAGGAACCCGGGGGGAAGTGCCCGGTGCATCCTGGATGGAGGAAGAGGAGGGATAAGGGAAGAAGGGTCGGGACTGGGAGCGGGTGTGTTGTGTTCGGTCTCTGGGAGTTTGGGGAAAGGGGATGGACGTGGGGAGGAGGAGGAGGGGGAGGGCTGATGTGCCCCTCCTCGGTTTGCCTTTTTTCTGGTGTTTTTTTGGCAGGGATTTCGCCCCTGTGTGTTCAGCCCGGGATCCCTGGAGATCTCGGGGATCCCTGGGGATGCTGAGGATGCTGAGGATGCTGCTCAGGGCTCGGCAGAGGGCAGGGGAGGGGCAGCACTGGGGCTGCTGTGCTGGTGTCACCCCCAGCCTGGGGATGCTCTGGACAGGGCTGTTGGTGGCCAGGGCAGGCTGAGCCCGCTGCTGCTCCTGCTGGGATCCCCCGGAGGATGCAGGCCATGAATGGATCCATTGAGGGAGTGCAGACAAAAGCCTGGGCCAGCAGCAGGGTCTGGGGCCACTGGCTGTGGGACAGGGAGCAGGGGCTGGGGTCCTCTGTGGTGGGGGAGGCTCGGGGCACCCAGTGAGGAGCAGGGCCAGGGCCACCCTGGGCTGTCCCCACTGCAGTGCTCCAGCCTCATCCCCAGCGTCCCATGGATCCCACGGATCCCATCCCATGGATCCCACGGATCCCATCCCATGGATCCCATTCCCATCCCATGGATCCCATTCCCATCCCATGGATCCCATCCCATCCCACGGATCCCATCCCACGGATCCCATCCCACGGATCCCATGAATCCCATCCCACGGATCCCATCCCATGGATCCCATCCCATCCCACGGATCCCATCCCACGGATCCCATTCCCATCCCACTGATCCCATCCCATCCCATCCCACGGATCCCATCCCATCCCACGGATCCCACCCCATAGATCCCATCCCATCCCATGGATCCCATTCCCATCCCATCCCATGGATCCCATCCCATGGATCCCATCCCATCCCATGGATCCCATCCCACGGATCCCATTCCATCCCATGGATCCCATCCCACGGATCCCATCCCATCCCATGGATCCCATCCCATGGATCCCATTCCCATCCCACTGATCCCATCCCATTCCCATCCCACTGATCCCATTCCCATCCCATCCCTGGGCCCCAGCTCTCCCTCAGGTGTCCCCAGGGTGTTGATGTGGGATCTGTGGGTGGAGATGAGGTAGCACAAGTCCCACCTCTCCAAGCTCATCCCAAATTGAGTTTTTGTTGTTTTGGGTTTTTTTTTAACTTATTTTTCATCTCCCAGCCACTTTTCCCACCTCCCCACCCCAGCCCCTTTGGAATTTCCCATCTGGTGTCTGTGGCTGTGTTATGGGAATGGACAAACATCTGTTGTTAGGGTGTCCCAAACCCTCATTCCCACCCCAAAATCCCTGTCCCCACCTGGGACACCCTTTGCCTGGCTGCTGTCACCCAGAAAATGCCAGAAGGGAACCTGGAGATGTCTCCTGCATCAACCCTACATCAGCCTGTAGAAACCCTAAATCCTGGTGGGACAAGAACTCCTATTTTGGGGGATTTTGGGATGTGGGGGTGCAGGAGACCCTCCCAGGAGTCTCCTGGCTGGAATTTGTCATCCTGGTGCTCATGGGCAACATCTGGAGGAGATTATTTGGCTGGGAAGCGGAGGGATGGCGGGGGTGGGGGAGAGATTTATGTCTCCTTGCCTGGGCTGTAAATCCAGCTGTAATTGGGATTTCTGCCTCCCCAGTTATCCCAGGGAATGCAGCAGCTGTGGGGCCGGGATGCTCCTGGCTTTGCTCCCTGGTTGTTGGCGTTGGGGTGATTTGTTGGGGTGTGAAGGGCACCCTGTCCTGCCTCAGGAGGGTGAGAGGCCAGGTCCTGGCTTTCCCCTCTGCTTTCCCCCTTTCCCATTTTTCTCCTTTTCCCATTCCCTTTTTCCCCATTTTGGGGCTTCCCCCAATCCCCATTGCAGCATCCTGGGTGCAGCCCCAGGCCCTTCTGCCAGGGCAGATTTGGGGTTTTTTTCCCACCTTCTTATGCCCAAACACAAAGTTTTAAGGAACTGGATGATGCATTGAGCCCAGCATCCCCATTTCTCTGCAAAATCCCATTCCCTGTCACTCCTGGAGCCAAATTTGGGTGTTTTTTTCCCAAACAGTCCAGTGACACTGCTCAAACCTTGATCTTGGGATGCCATGGGGCTGCAGTGGCCACACCTGGACAAAGATTTTGGGGGCCTCCATTAAACATCCTACAAACCCCCATTTCCTGCCCCAATGCTTGGCCTGTCCTGTCTGGCCTGGCATGATTTTGGGATGGATTTTGGGGGAAAAGGGAGCAGAGGGACCAGGGCAGGGGGACAGGAGGGGCTGGGACCAGGGCAGGGTGATGGAGCCCTGGGACAGGGGGACAAACCCTCTGGGACGGGGCCATGGGCACATGGAGCTGCCAGGACCTGCAGCCCTGGGGTTCTGCCACACCAGGACCCTCAGCGGGACCCTCAGTGGGACCCAGGGCCAGCCCCACCAGGGGCTCTCCCCCTTCCCAGGGAAGCAGCACAGCTGGGCTGGGGCCTGGGCAGAGCAGGAGGAGTGGGAATCCTCTGGTGAACGCCCCCAGTTGGACCTCAGGGCATCCCCTGGCCCCCTCTCCTGGGTCTGGGGGCTCCCAGGGGGCTGGGCTCCAGCAGGGAAGGAGTTACCCCTGCTTTTAATTGGCTGGTAACGAGCACCCAGGGCTGGCTCTAATCTCTCTGGAATGTGACCGATTTTCAACTATTTTCCTCTTTTTAATTTTTTTTTTGCTGCTGTTTCACAGCTCGGGTCCCCAGTGGGGGGACAGTGGGGGCTGTGTCCCAGCTGGAGCCACGGGATGGGGAGGAAGAGGAGGGGAGGGGGGGTCATTTTGTCATTTCTCCACATCACCACTGAACCATTCAGCAGCTCCCCCCGCTTTGTGTACTTTGAAAGGGTCCCCCCTGTTCCTCCCTTTCCCTTCCCCAGGCTCCCGAAATGGCCCCAAAATGAGAATCAGCCTTTTATCCCCAGAGCTTCCCCCAGGGCTGTCCCCATCCCCTGGCGCCTCCTCTTCCTACAGGGCAGCCCAGAAAGCCCCTCTGGGGTGGGCTGGGGGGCTCAGAGCTGGGGGGCACCTCCTGCTCTGTCCTGGACATGGACACACAACTGGGGGAGCACCGAGGGTCTCATCTGGTGCTTGGAGTGTGGGAGGGGGCTTGGGACAGGGGGGTGACCCCAGTGTGGGGTCTGGGGACAGGGGGGTGACCCCAGTGCCAGCCCAGTGTGGCCCTGGAGCTCTCGGGACATTTTGGCTGCCCTGGCCCTGAGGATGAGCCAGATTTGGAGGGAGCAGCAAAGGTGTCCCTTGGGGAGCAGCTCCTCATGCCAGGGTGAGATGGGGGACAGTGAGCCTGGGGTGACAGTGACAGCCAGCCCAGGGGGGACAGTGAGCCCACAGGTGACGGCTGGCAGGTCATGGCCAGTCCACAGGTGACAGTGAGCCTGGGGTGACAGTGACCCAGGTGTTTGGGGATCCCCTGTGCTGTGGGAATGGTGGGATCGTGAGGGATCCCCCTCAGCTCTGGGGCTGTGCTGTGCCGGGGGGGGGTCCTGGGTGGGGGTCCTGGAAGGGTTAATGCTGCCCCAAGCTCCTGCTGGGTTTTCTCTCCAGCTGCCCCGGCTCAGGCAGGTTTGTGTCTGGGGAAATTCCTGCAGCAGCTGCTGCAGCCACGTTCCCACATTCTGCAGCCCTGGCATCTCCAGGGACCCTCCCTCCCTCCCTCCCTCCTGCTCTCCTCGGGAGCTGCCTCTGGCCCCCCAAACACACACAAAGCCCCTTTTTTGGGGTGCCAGGGAGACACCCCAGAGTCACAGTGGGATGTAAACCCAGAAAGGGAGAAAAACCCCAAAACCGCTTTGCCCATGGTTGGGGTGTCCTTGGCTGGCTGTGCAGGCAAGGCCAGGGAATGTTTTGGGGTCAGAGGGTTGTTTCTGAGCTAGGGAGGACTTTGGGATTAGGGGAAGTTTTGGGGCTGGGGAATGTTTTGGGGCTGAGTGGGATGTTTCAGGGCTGGGGGTGTTTTGGTATCAGGAGGAGCTTTGGGACTGGAGATGTTTGGGGGTGTTTTGGGGTCAGAGGATGTTTGAGGCCAGGACTGGGGTGATTTTGGGGCTGGGGGGCTGTTTCAGGCCTGGTGCAGTGTCTGGGGCAGGGGGGGTTTTTGGGGGCAGGGGGTTTTTTTGGGGCAGGGGTTTTTTTTTGGGGCCCGGTTTTTTGGGGCCAGGGCTGCGTGGGGCAGTGCACAGGGCAGTGTCCATCCCTCCCACAGTACCTGCAGATGAAGTGGCCACTCCTGGACGTGCCGGCCGGGGCCACGCTCAAGGACAGGAGCTCGCCCTCACCCGCCCACCTGGTGAGAGAGGGCAGCCCCCAGACCCAGGGGGGGTTCCCAGCACCCCCAGCTCTGCCAGGGACCCTCTCCCATTCCATGGGGGGGATTCGGGAGTGTTTTGGGCTGGGGAGGGATCTTAAAGAGCAAAGGGGGGCAGGGGCACCATGACTGGGGCAGGGGCACCATGACTGGGGCAGGGGCACCATGACTGGGGCAGTTTCAGGGCTGGTGGGACAGCCCTGGCTGTGCTGCCCCGCTGCCCAGGGCTGTTCCCATGGGCTGAGCCCTGCCCCTGTGCTCTCCCCACAGTCCAACAAGGTGCCCGTGGTGCAGCACGCCCATCACATGCACCCCCTGACGCCGCTCATCACCTACAGCAGCGAACCCTTCCCGCCCGGGTCACCCCCCGGGCACCTGAGCCCTGAGATCGACCCCAAAACGGGTGAGCGGGGCTGGGAGCATGGCTGGGGACACCTGGGGGAGAATGGGGCTGGGGGCACCTGGGGGTGAATGGGGCTGGGACACCTGGGGGTGAATGGGGCTGGGACACCTGGGGGACACCTGGGGGTGAATGGGACTGGGGGCACCTGAGGGTGAATGGGGCTGGGGACACCTGGGGGAGAATGGGGCTGGGGCACCTGGGGGTGAATGGGGCTGGGACACCTGGGGGTGAATGGGGCTGGGGGCACCTGGGGGTGAATGGGGCTGGGGGCACCTGGGGGGGAGCAGGGGGTGAATGGGGCTGGGGACACCTGGGGGTAAATGGGGCTGGGGACACCTGGGGGAGAATGGGGCTGGGGCACCTGGGGGTGCATGGGGCTGGGGCACCTGGGGGTGAATGGGGCTGGGGCACCTGGGGGACACCTGGGGGTGAATGGGACTGGGGGCACCTGGGGGTGCATGGGGCTGGGGGCACCTGGGGGACACCTGGGGGAGAATGGGGCTGGGGGCACCTGGGGGACACCTGGGGGTGAATGGGGCTGGGGGCACCTGGGGGGGAGCAGGGGGTGGGGGAAACATCTGGAGGGGGGATCTGGGGTGCTCAGAGGGGGAATATGGGGTGCTCAAAGGGGGGATCTGGGGTGCTTAGAGGGGTCTGGGGTGCTCACAGGGATCTGGGGGGATCTGGGGTGCTCACAGGGATCTGGGGGGATCTGAGGTGCTCAAAGGGGGGATCTGAGGTGCTCAAAGGGCAGATCTGGGGTGCTCAGAGGGGTCTGGGGTGCTCACAGGGATCTGGGGGGATCTGGGCTGCTCACAGAAGGCTGCTGGGGGGCACGGGGGGCTCCCTGGCTGCCCTGGCCCTGCTCTGAGCCCCCCCTCCTGCCCCCTCTGCCCCTCACAGGGATCCCACGGCCGCCGCACCCCCCCGAGCTGCCCCCCTACTACCCCCTGTCCCCCGGGGCCGTGGGGCAGCTGCCACCCCCGCTGGGCTGGCTCGTGCCACAGTAAGGACGGGGGGCTCGGGGGGCTTCAGGGGGCTGGCTGTGCTTGGGGGGCAGAATTTGGGGTGCTGGGAGGGGGCTGGCTGTGCTTGGGGGCAGAATTTGGGCTCAGGGGCAGAATTTGGGGTGCTGGGAGGGGGCTGGCTGTGCTTGGGGGCAGAGTTTGGGCTCAGGGGCAGAATTTGGGGTGCTGGGAGGGGGCTGGCTGTGCTGGCAATGGTCTGGCTGTGCTCAGGGGCAGTTTTGGGGTGCTGGGGCAGCTCCTGTTGGGGTGGGAAGGGAGGGGACTCCGTGCTGCTGGAAAATTTGGGAATCCCGCAGATGGAAAGAGCAGCGCAGGGGTGCCCATGAAGCGGAAAAGGATCTTTTTTCCCCAAAAGACTCGTGTTTTGTAGGCAAGGACAGCCCGTGTACTCCATCCCTGCTGGGGGCTTCCGGCACCCCTACCCCGCCCTGGCCATGAACGCCTCCATGTCCAGGTGGGGCTGGGCTTATGGGGCGGGTTTGGGGTCTCTGGGGCGGGTTTGGGTTTTCTGGGGCGGGTTTGGGTTTTCTGGGGCGGGTTTGGGTTTTCTGGGGTGGATTTGGGGTTTCTAGGGTGGATTTGAGGTTTCTAGGGTGGATTTGGGGTTCCAGCACGTTTTCGGGGTTTCCAGTGTGCGTTTTGGGCTCTGGCACGTTCTCGGGGCTCCCAGCTGGGTTGGGGCAGGGGCTCTCTGAACCCGGGCAGTTCTGGGGGGTCCCGTGCCCACCCCTGCTGTCTGTCCCCCCTGCAGTTTGATGTCCAGCCGCTTCTCCCCGCACGTGGTGCCCCCGCCCGGGCACGGGCTGCACCCCTCGGGCATCCCCCACCCCACCATCGTCTCCCCCATCGTCAAGCAGGAGCCCCCCCAGCCCAGCTCCAGCCCCGCCGGCACCTCGTGAGTGGGGACAGGGGCTGGGGGGGGACAGGGGCTGCTCCTGGGGGTCCTGACCCGGGGCAGTGCTCGCAGGGGTCCCAGGACGAGGAGAGAGAATCTTGACTCCCTGTTTCAGAAGGCTGGTGTATTATTTTATGATGTATATTATATCAAAATGATATGTTATAATATATTATAATTTAAAATTAAAATTTAAAAATTAAAATTTAAAAAATAAAATTTAAAAATTATATTTAATTTTACAAATTAAATTTAAATTTTAAAAATTTAAAAATTAAATTTAAAATTTAATTAAATTAATATATTATATTGAAATTATATCTTAATATATTACAACATGTATTATATATTATTGCATTATTTATAATATATACTATGTATTATATTATATATTATTATATATTAATATAATATATTAATGTATTATGTAATGTTTATTAATATATTATAATGTAATATAATATTATAGTATATAAATTATATATTAATATATTATATTAGAATTATATGTTAAAACTATACTAAAAGAATAGAAGAAAGAATTTCATCAGAAAGCTAGCAAAGAATAGAAAGAAATTATAACAAAAGAATATAAAATAATGATAATAAAATCTTGTGTCTGACCAGAGTCTGAGACAGCTGGACTGTGATTGGCCATTAATTAGAAACAACCACATGAGGCCAATCCCAGATGCACCTGTTGCATTCCACAGCAGCAGATAACCATTGGTTACATGTTGTTCCTGAGGCCTCCCAGCTTCTCAGGAGGAAAAACCCTAAGGAAGGGATTTTGCATAAAACATGTCTGTGATTTTCCATAAAACGCGTCTGTGGCCCTGATGCCCCTGTTCCGCTCCCCTGGCAGGAAATCCCCCGTGGCCGTGAAGAAGGAGGAGGAGAAGAAGCCGCACATCAAGAAGCCTTTGAACGCCTTCATGCTGTACATGAAGGAGATGAGGGCCAAGGTGGTGGCCGAGTGCACGCTGAAGGAGAGCGCGGCCATCAACCAGATCCTGGGACGGAGGGTACAGGGGGGCCCCGGGGACACTGCAGAGACCCCGCTTTCACTTCTCCCCTGGATCAGGCCCCACCTGGGCACTGCCAGCCCAGGGAGCCCCAGGGAGCTCCTGCTGACCTGGCATGGGGTGGGCAGCAGGTGCTCAAGGTCTCCAGTGTGGATTTGGGGATTCCAGCCACCTCTGGGGTTTCCAGTGTGTGCCTTTGAGGTCTCCAGCATAGCCCTGGGCATCCTAGCACGTATTCGGTGTTTCTGGTGTGCATTTGGGGTCTCTAGCCTGGCTCTGAGGTCTCCAGTGTGGATCTGGGGATTCTCAGCCTGGTTTTGGGGCTCCCAGAGTGCCTCTGGGGTCTCCAGCGTGGATCTGGGGGTTCCCATCCTGGCTCTGGGGTCTCCAGTGGGGGTTTGGGGGTTCCCAGCCTGGCTTTGGGGTTCTTAGAGTGACTCTGGGGTCCCCAGCATGGCTCTTGGGGTTCCTGGGGCAGTTCTGGGGTCCCCAGCGTGGCTCTGGGGGTCCCCGGGGCAGTTCTGGGGTCCCCAGCGTGCTGTCCCCGCAGTGGCACTCGCTGTCCCGGGAGGAGCAGGCCAAGTACTACGAGCTGGCGCGGAAGGAGCGGCAGCTGCACTCGCAGCTCTACCCGACCTGGTCAGCAAGGGACAACTACGTACGTGTGACCCCCCTGGGGCCCCCAGCCCCTTCCTGGGGTCTGGCTGCTGGGAGGGGGCTGGCTGTGCCTGGGGGGCAGCGTTTGGGGTGCTGGGAGAGGGCTGGCTGTGCTCAGGGGCAGAGTTTGGGGTGCTGGGAGGGGGCTGGCTGTGCTCAGGGGCAGAGCTCAGGGGTCTGGCTGTGCTCAGGCTGCTGTGACAGCGTGTGACGGTTCCAATCCCCTCCACGCACTCTCCCATCCACGTTTCCCACCCCAGCACCCCCGTGGCGGCCTGGAGCCGCGGGAGGAGCTGAAACTCTGTGTTCCAGGGCAAGAAGAAGAAGCGGAAGCGCGAGAAGCTGGCCCAGCAGCAGCAGCAGCAGCAGCAGCAGGGCCCCGATGCCGACGGTGAGTGCCCCCTGCCCGTGTCCCCCCGTGCCCCTCATTGATAGGGCCCCAGGTCTTCTGATTAAGCTTAACCCCGAGCAAGGCAGTCTTTATTTATCTGGATAACTCAGTCCCTCTGGGAGACAGAGTGCCCGAATACCCGCGCAGCTCGAAGCCGTGGCTACCTTTGGCAAGCTAAGTGATTTTCAGCTCTTTAGTGATTATCGGCTCTCTTAGGATTTCAGCTTGTGCTTGCCAAAAGCGCCGTAGGGCTAGGGGCAGACGTGAGAGAGGAGAAGGAGAGGTCCTGGCGTTCCACAGCAATGGGTTTATTGAGGGATCTGTGAAGGGTTCCAGCGACGGCTCTTCTTCTGCCGAATGGGCTAAAACAGCCCCTTTTTATAGGGTATGGGGGGATCCAAACTTGTCCAATAGTAAAGGTTAGGGAAAAAGTGACCTATGGAGTTACAGAGACAAGCTATAGGCCGAGAAGCTGAAGATGGGAGCTTATTTTGCTGTCTCATCATGACTCATCATGACAGCAGTTCCTACTGTTAAGTCTCAGCCCTCCATGGAGTTCTGGCCAGCTCCATGGAGTCTGCTACACCTCATGCTGCTGTCCCTGTCCCCTCATGCCCCTCACGCCGTCCCTGTCCCCTCACACTGTGCCTGTCCCCTCACGCTGTGCCTGTCCCCTCACGCTGTCCCTGTCCCCTCATGCCCCTCACGCTGTCCCTGTCCCCTCACACTGTCCCTGTCCCCTCATGCCCCTCACGCTGTCCCTGTCCCCTCATGCTGTCCCTGTCCCCTCATGCCCCTCACGCTGTCCCTGTGCCCCTCACACTGTCCCTGTCCCCTCATGCCCCTCACGCTGTCCCTGTCCCCTCACGCCCGCCATGCCTGTCCCTGCAGGCTCGCTGCCCGCCCGGAGCAAGAAGCCCTGCGTGGTGCCCTTCCTGCCCGAGAAGCCGTGCCCCAGCCCGGCCTCGTCGCACGGCTCCATGCTGGACTCTCCGGCCACGCCGTCGGCCGCTCTGGCCTCGCCGGCCGCGCCGGCCGCCACGCACTCGGAGCAGGCCCAGCCACTCTCGCTCACCACCAAGCCCGAGGCCCGGGCCCAGCTCAGCAAATCCTCCTCTTCCTCTTCCTCCTCCTCCTCCTCCTCCTCCTCCTCGCTGCTCTCCAGGCCCGTCCCCTTCACCTCGGGGACCCCCTCGGCCCTGCTGGCCTCCCCGCCCGGCGCCATGCCGGCCGCCCTGGCCGCGCTGCAGACGCAGCCGCTGTCCCTGGTCACCAAACCCGCTGACTGAGGGACAAACCTCCCCTCCTTGTCCTCCCCACCCCGTCCCCTCCCCGCTGTACATTGCAGAAGCCACAATCAAGATTCGAACGCAGCCAAAACCGTTATTGGTCAATATTTGACCCTTTCTGAACTCTGTGGGAGCAGGCTCTGGAGGGAAGGGGCTTTCTGCTCAGAGCTGCTGCCAGCGGTCAACCTAAAGACTGTTTTTATTAAAAAAAAAGGAGAGAAAAAAAAAAAAAAATGGAATAGACCCTCCAGAAGGTGCCGCCGAGGGGGATCTCTGAGGGAGGAACTGATGCCCATCGCTGCCATGGAGCACAGAGATGGACCCTCACGGTGGTGCCAGCCCCTGCACGGCAGGCGTGGGCTGGAACTGGCTCTCCATCTCGGCTCCAGGAGCAGGAACGCCTCCAGCTGCTCCCAAAATCCTGCTCCATGCCCTGGCACGGAGCTGGTGCTGCCCCGGGGGTGCTGCTCCGTCGGTGCTGCCCCTGCCCACGCTCCCGCTGGGCTGGGCAGGGCCTGGGGCTGAGCCCTGGGAGGGGTTGTGTTTTTATCACCTCAAAAAATCCTGTTATTTTTCACAAAAGGAAATAAAAACTGCAGCTGCAGCTGGTGGTGTGAGTGTGGTCTCTGTGGGAAGCGCTCGCCACTTTTCCTCTGCCACTTTCCTGGGAAATATCTCGGGATGGAATTCCTGCTCCTGAGCTCCAGCATCCCTGAACAGCTCTGGCCATGGGCTCAGGGGGATTTTGGGGTGCCACCAACAGAGTACAGCTTTGCTGGACTCACCCAGGCATCAGGACACGTGGGGTTGGGTGAACCAGTGCCTGAGGAGCCGGGCACTGGGAGTTACTGGTGTGTACTGGGTGCTCTGGGGCTGCTTCTTCCAAACCAGGCATGAAAAAGGACCTGCAGAAAACCAACCCGATGGATTTTCAACCCACTTGGAGTCCTCAGTCAGCTCCATACTTGGGTATATCAGGACTCTTTCCTCTCCTTGTATTTCAGCAGGAAAAATCCCCAATTTTCCCCCTGGAACTCATGATTTTGTCTCTGTTGCAGACTGACCTGGAGCCGCACCTGCCTGGAGTTAATTTACGGCGTTCACAGCCCTGTTCCATTCCCCTCTGGAACTCCCTGCCCTGCTCCTGCCTCCCAGGCCCAGCCTGGCTGCTCTCTACCTGCACCTCACCTTTATTTTGGGGACCACGGTGTCCCCCAGTTCCCAAACAGCATCAATGATGGGTGAGCCCATCCGCAGCTGCTGGGTCTGCTGGGACTTTGGTGCATTTCGGGCACCAGGGACACTTTTTCCTCCCGTTGTGACATTTCTCTTCTCCTTTCCAGTGCTGAGAAGCCCCCAGGGAAGAGTTTGTAAGGAAGTGGAGCAGCAGCAGGCACCTGTCTGCAGGTAAGGGGAAAGGGAACTTCATGGGACTGAGGAGGATCTGTGTTTTCCAGATGTGAGAGGTGTTGGCATCCATATCTGCAGCAGAAAACACCTGGATTTTAGCATTTTCCTACCAGAGCTGGGCAGAACTACAAAAACCCACCCCTGAACCAGGCCCCAGCCATGGGCACGGCCACAGGACACACCTGGGGCCAGCTCCAAAACCTTGTGGAAGCTCCTGATGCCTTTGCAAGCTCCAGCAGGAGCGTGGCTGCTCTGTCCAGCCCAGGACCATCATGTGGGCAGCTGGAATTGCCAGCTTGGAGCATCCCAGAGCTGCCAGAGCCACGCTGGGAGCTGGGAGCAGCTGTGGGGTCCCACCAAACCCCCCGAGTGCCCCCTTATTGTGGCCACACCCAGATTTGGGAGGTGCTTCCATTATTTACATTTCCAAATGATTTAAATTTCTTGCTTTCAGAGAGAAAAATGTGTGAATTCTGGCCTGGAGCTAGGGAGGAGAAGCCACGTGTCACACAGCCGGGGATTAGGGTCACCCAGAATGTGCGTGGCCATCGCCTGAAAAGAGCCAAAATTGAGCTTTTTTGAGAGAAACTGTTCCAAGAAAGTGATTTTTGGTGAGGAGGAGGCTTGGCCCCGCTCTCCCCAGCACCAGGAGCAGGCTGGGGACAAGCAGCCCCTTGGATTGGATTTTGTGGGACATTAGAGGCATGGAGAGAGCCCTGTCACAGGGATTAAACCCCAGCCAGAGCCAGACAGCCTCAGACAGATGTTGGGCTCCAGCAGGAGAATATTCCTTTGTTTGACTCGAAGCTTTCCCATGGGGACAGGGAACATCTGTTCCACTCCCTGGTGGTGCTCTGGAGCTGGGGCAGGCTGGGGTGAGCCCTGCCAGGAGCACTCGGTCCCCAAGCCCTGCTCCTGGGCAGGAGGTGACACCAGGGGAGCAGTGCTGTCCACAGAAAATGGGATCCTTTTGGATTTTATTGTCCTCTGGAATGGTCCCATCATGGGGGTGAAAATGCAGGATTCAGGGTGGCTGTCCACGGAAAATGGGATCTTTTTGGATTTTATTGTCCTCCGGAATGGTCCCATCATGGGGGTGAAAATGCAGGATTCAGGGTGGCTGTCCACGGAAAATGGGATCTTTTTGGATTTTATTATCCTCCGGAATGCTCCCACAGGAGCTGTGTCTGCCCACGGGAGGGGACTGGAGTTGTCCTTTAAGGTCCCTTCCAGCCTAAACCATTCCCTGGTTCTAGAAGAGGGAAACTCTGGGGTATATAACCCTGAAAAAATCCAGTGTATTTCCATTTGGGATGGTGTGACCAGGAGGTCCGGGGCTCCATTCGGCTTTGGGCAGGGTGGGCGATGTTCCTCAGAACTGGGGGGTGAAATGGAGCGGGCAGCCCGGGATGAGGGAGGTCCGGGATAGTCCCCAGCAGGGCTGGACTCTCTGGATGTGCCTCCAGGGCATCCAGGAGAGCTTTTGGGACACCTTGGGAGCACCTGGGCGCTCTCCTGGCTCTGTTCTGGACACGGGGCTCCTCCTGTCACCTCCTCCCGATTGTTTAATTGCAGCCCTGCCCCCCTGCAGGCTGGCCAGGCACTAATTGCAAAGCCTAATGAGGTCCCGGGGGTCTCCTGCAGAGACGGAGCTAATTAGGGGCTGCAGCACGAGCTCCGAGGTTTCTCCAAGCCCCTTTTTGCTCGGGGGCTGGAGGGGAGGGCGCGCCAGATGTCCGGGGTGAGGCTGCAGCTCCCGTCCTCGGGGCTCCTGCCAAAGCAGCTGCTGCAGAGGCACTGGCTACACTTAATACATTTTAATTAGCGTCATTAAATTCTTCCATTTGCTAATTGTTTCTCCTTTTGATCCTTTACCCCGAGCAGATTAGCCCTCGGGGGGGAAGGGGCGGGCTGGGGGATGCAGACACGTCGGGCGAGGTGAGGACTTTATTATCCTGACACCAGACCTTGGGACAGCGGTGAAAACACCGCAATTAGCGCTAATTAGGGCCAGATCTGCGTGTCCAGCCTGCTCTGGGAAAGAGCCATCCCCAAAAAGTGAATTTGCAGGGACTGGTGAGAGCAGAGGGCACCGGGAGCGCCCCAAACCTGAAGGTGGGACGGAGCTCAGCTCAGGTGAGAGCGGGCTCAGGTGTTGGGGGGTCCTGGGGGGTCCCTCCCAGCCTGGGATACCCCAGGATCTATGGACCAGGAGGCGAGGGGAGGGCACTGCTGCTCCTCATCCTCAGAAATGCTGGATCCTGTGCTGCCCACGGTGCTTGGGGCAGAATCCCAACCCCAGAGGCACAAACTTGGCCTGAGCTCAGCCTCTCCGGACTTCCAGGGGGTGGGTGGAAGCCGAGCATGAGAAACAGCCTCGGTTTTCTGTTTAAATCCCCAAAAAGCACTGGGCCAGCTGCTCTGGTCTCCCTGGAAAGGCTGGCACGGGCAGCAGGGACTGCTGGAATGTGCTGAATGGAGCTGAGATTCCCCAGGGATCGGGAAAAAGAAACCATGAGAGGAGAAATTCAGCCGGATCTCCCGCCACACTCCAAGGCAGGATTATTCCCCAGCACCGTGTTGGTTTCCATGTGATGTTTTTCCTCTGTTTTAGGGTTAAATGGAGCAACTGCAGCGGGTCACAGACCCATGGAAGAGTGTGATCCCTGCTGGAGACAGATTCCTGGATATTCAAGCCTGGAGAAGGGAGATTTAACAGTCGAAACCAGATAAACAAAAAGAAGTGAACAGTCCTGGGTGCCTGCTGACAGTTTCCTGCTCTGCTGGGAATCGCTGCTGTGCAGCAGGACATGCCTGCTTGGGCCAAGAAAGGGAAACAACAGGTTATCCAAAAAAGTGAAACAGCATCCGAAAAACAACAGGTATCAAAAAAAGTTTAAAAATCAAAAAAATAACAGGGTATTTAAAGAAATTTATATATAATACCCGAAAAATAGCAGATTACCAAAACCAGCAGGTTCTCCAGAGCTGTCCTGGAGGAAAGGGGAAAGGAAAAGGAAAAGGAGCCCTGATTTCCTGCCAGCTGTCCCCCAACCTCGCCCACTCCAGAACCAGGAGTGCACTCCCAGCGCCTGTCTGGGGCTGCAGTCACTGCCTCTCTCACTGACTGCCCGCCCTGGGCTCCCAGGGCCGGGAAACAGACCCGGAACCGGCGGGTTTCACCCCAAACCCTCGGGTTTTACCCCGAACCGGCGGCTTTTACCCCAAAATTCGGCCGTGACCGCCAGGGGGCGCCAATCGCATCCCAAAGGGACTCTCAAGCCCCGCCCCCAGCCGAACAAGCTCCGCCCCACCCGCGCGTTAACGCCCGCAACCCCGCCCCTTAGCAAGCTCCGCCCCATGCGGAGACTCTCCTCCTAAATATTCAAATTTAGCTCAGTCTCCGCCTCCTCGGCGCCGTTCTCGCTCCCTCCCCTCTCTCGCGAGAGCCGTGCCCGGAAGCGGCCGAGCCGGCGCTGAGGGCCCGCCCGCCATGGAGGTCCCGCGGGCGCTGCCGCTGCTCTTGGTGCTGTCGGTGCTGCTCCTGGGGCTCTGCGCCGCCGGTACGCCGCGCCGGGACACTGCCGCGGGGGCGGGAGGGGGCGTCGAAGCCCTGGGGCCGGGAGGGGTCAGGCACCGCGCTCGGTTTGGGGGTCTCCTCTCCCCTTGGGGTTCCGCCGCGTTCGGTCACCGGGGGTTCCCCCCCCACTCTTGGCAACCCCTGATCTCCGTTCCCCCGAGGGTCACCGGGGTTCCCTCTCCGCCCTTGCCAGCCCCCGCTCCCCCGGGGTTCCCGTTCCCTCTGGGCTCCCCGGCTCCTGTGCCGTGTCCCCCGGGTCCCGCCGCCCCTCTCGGGATCTCCCCCCGATGCTCACTGACCGGGCTTCTCGTGTTTGCCGCTGCAGAAGACACCCCGCAGACAGAGTCCGACAGATCTTCCACGGTGTCCCAGGGAGCCGGAGCAGGCGGGGAGCACACCGACACAGCCCCAGGGGACAGAGACGAGCATAAAAACAGTGATAACTCCAACAATGGTGAACCCCAAACAGACACGAGCGGTAGGACCAGCACAGATGAAAACACGGCAAACAAACAGCAGGAAAACAACCCAACTGTAAATGGCAGCAATGACGAGAAGGAGAAGGAGAAGAAGGAGAAAGAGGAGTCACAGAAAGGCAGCGGCACAGAGACTGGTCAGCCAGGCCAAGGTGGAAATGGCAGTGATGGAAACAGCAATGGAGGAGGTGGGGGACAAGGAGGTGAAAACCAGAACAGCAACAATGGTAACGCAGGCAGTGGTAACACAGGCAAGACAGGCAGTGATGGCCAGGACAACGCAGGCAGCAGCACTGATGTCCAGGCCAACCCAAACAGTGCCACTGGTAGCCAGGACAATACAGGGACCGGCGGTGTTAGCCAGGGCAATGATGGCCATGGCAGTAAAGACTCCAGCACTGCAGACACGGGCAACCAAAGCAGTGGCACTGGTGGCCAGGGCAATACAGGGACCAGCACTAACGATGGAAATGGCAGCCAGAACAACAAAAACAACCAGCAGAACAGTGTCAGCAAGAACGGCCAGGCTGGCAACCAGGCAGGGGGCACTGAGGAGGAGGGCAACAAGGATGACAAGACCAAGGGCAGCAATGACAAGGACGGTCAGAACACAAATGGCAGCAACAACCAGGACAACAGCAACAACAACGAGGCCAACAACGAGGGCAAGGGCAAGGACAGCAAGAGCAAGGACAGCAAGAGCACAAGTGGCAGCACCAACCAGAACAGCAACACCCAGGCCAGCACCAACCAGGACCAGAGCAGCACCCAGGATGGCACCAACCAGGACAACAGTGACAAGAACAGGGCTGCCAACAAGGCCAGCACAAACGGGGCCACCAGCCAAGGAGGGCAGCCGGCCCAGACTGAGAGCCAGGGCAGTGCTGCTGGCGAGCAGCCCCAGGGCCAGGACAGCGCTCAGAACTCCCAGGAGGAGCAGAGCCCCGTGTCTCACTCTGCTGCCCCTGCTGGGGATGGTGACAGCTCCTTGGAGAACGAAGAGAGCGCCCTGGAGGACGTGGGCAAGGCTGGGGAGGGCAGTGACACCTCCCTGGAGCAGGACAGGGACAGGAGTGGTCCCTCCCTGCCCAGGCCCCGCTCGGAGAGCAGCCACTTCTTTGCCTACCTGGTGACCACAGCTGTCATTGTGGCAGCCCTGTACGTGGCCTACCACAACAAACGCAAGGTGAGTGCCCTGCCAGCCCTTTCCCCTCCTCCTGACTGGTTCCACACCAGTATCTCCCAGTTTGGTCCACATTCCTGTGGTCCCACAGCGATGGGAGGGTTCCTGTGACCAGGAATGGGTTGGATGTGATGGGAACTGGGTGTTCTCAGCTCTGCCGCTGGTTTTCAGCTGAGAGGTGAAACCACAAAGGGGTGTGGATCTCTCCATCTTATCTCTGCCAGTTTTCTCCTGGCAGTTTTCTGTAGCAGCATCACAAGGTTGGGGTTGTTTTTCCTCACATAAAGCTGGTTTTGAGGGAGGACAAAAAAGAGAGATAATTCTTCCTGTTTTCTGCTTGTTGAGCAAATCTCATTATCCATCTTAGGAATGGTTGAGTACAGGCATTTACATGTTCTGAGTGCTTGGTCACAGGAAAAGGGTTGTGGGAGCAGGAAAATGAAAATCCAAAGGTGAGCCCGTGTTGGAAGCTGCTGTTCCACTCACCCTGTCTCCATTTTTCTCTCTCCAAAGATCATTGCTTTTGCTCTGGAAGGAAAAAGATCCAAAACTGGTCGGCGGCCCAAATCTGGTGATTATCAGAGACTGGATCAGAAGGTGAGAGCCAGCCCAAAGTGGGGTTGGTGTGCCTGGTGTGTGTTGGAAACACAAAATATTGTCCCTTTGCATTAGAAAGGGTCCCAAAGCCCCAGCTGAGGCAGTTTGGGAAGCACAGTTTGGTGCAGAAACAGGGTTTTGGAGAAAGTGAGACTGAGGAGTGCTGGCAGAGCTGCCCCAGGGCACAGATGGGAGCTGGGCTCTGCTGGATGTCACTGATCAAAGGGTAGGATTTCTGTGGGAATCCCTTTCTTCTCTCCCTTGAAGCCTTGTTCCACCTCTTGCCCTTCAGATGTGCCTCTGCCACAGGAAGAGGAAAGTTAGGAAGGCAAAGGCAGGAAGGAGCTCGTGCTTGCTTTGGGAGCTTCTCAGCCCACTCGAGTCTGGACAGAGCAGCAGAGTTAATTCTGAGCTTTCAGGCAGTCCCAACCTTTCCTTTTGCCTTTCCAGATCTAATTCCTGCTCAGATGATGGCGGGGGTGCAGTGCTGCCACAGCTGGATTCCACTCCACGGCAAGGAGGGGAGATGCTTTTTGTTTTGCACCTGCACCTTGATAAAACCTCTCACTTCCCTGAATTGCTCCTTTCCCAGCTGCCTTGTTTTCCCCCTGGGTGTCTGACTGCTGGAAAAGCCAGACCCAGGATTTGTGTCCCAATGCAATGGAATTTGCCATCTGCTGGACTGACCCCTCCTTCTGGGGGGGAATTAAGGATCTGCTGCACAATGAGCCATGGGACTGTCCCTTGCCTGGGAACGAAGCTGCCTTGGTCTCCTCCTGCCCCTCCTTCTCCACCTGTTGGGTTTGGATGCTCAGGTTGGGAGCACCTGAGTTCTCTTGTTTGCCATTGACCCAGCACAGACTTGGATTTGGGGTTTCTCTCCCTGATCAGTCTCACACCCAGATTCCCTTTTTCACACGCACCTCTGGCCATGCTGAAGCAGTTTTTGTAGCTCAAACGCTTTGTGCTGCATGCAGGTCTCTTCCCTCCCAGTGCTCCCAGTTCAGCTGTGTGCACTGGGGGTGCTGGTTGTGGAGGAGGGGCTCACGCTGGGCTATCCATGCCCTGTTGGCTCAGGGATTCAGATGGGATGATTGCTTCCTGCCCTTGGCAGGTGCAGGAAGGAAGGAATGTCAGTCCCTGAGGAGTTTGGGATGAGGGAGGCTCCCAGTCCCTCCAGTGCTGGACTGGTACTGGTCAGCCCAAGGGTTGGTGCCTCACTCACACCTGTGAGGTTTTCATTACTGCAGCTCTACTCCCCAGAGGTTTCTTCAAGCTGGGATGTTTCTGGAGAGGGCACAAAGTACCTGCTTGGCTCCTGCTTTGGATTTTTCCAGAAAAAAAAAAGGATTTGAGGAGCCCAGAGCTCCTCACATGGGCACCCAGCTCTGCCACATCAGGTGCCAGGCGTGTGCCAGTCCTGCACTGACTGCACGGGAAGAGTCCCAGGATGGGTAAATTCCTCCTGGGGGGCTTTTTCTGGCCTTGCCAGGCTTGGGAACCATCAGCTCCTCGCCCTGTGCTCACCTTGGACAAGGGCAGAGCTGTTTCCTGGTCACTGTGAAAGCTGCAGCTCTGTTTTGATTTCCTAATGGTTCATTCCAAGAGGGGAGAGAGGGCCTGGCCTTCTCCAAACCCTAAAATCATCCTTTCCCCTTTTGCTGGCTCTTGGCAAGCATCAGAGTCCCTCTTGGCTTTGAAGAGTTCTCAGGGTTTCCCTAGGAAACATCTAGGATGCTAAAAGGACTTCCAGGAGTTGTTTGGAGGGAGGGCAAAGGGAAACAGGGCTGGGAATGCAGCTCTGGGGAAAAAGGGTGGGAAGCTCCTGGCCCGGAGCCCCTGGGGGATCAGCCAGGCTGGGGGCTGGGGAGGGGAGCACTCGTTGGGCACGGCAGGGAGACAAACCCTGCTGCAGTCTGTGGGGTTCTGTGCTGCTCTGGCCAGGGTTTTTGCAGTGTGTGTGCTTTTTGGAGTGCGACTGCTCTACGCTGGCTTCGTCCTGGTTTGTCTTTTTTTTTTTTTTTAATTGAATAATAATTTAGAAAGGCTTTTTATTTTTTCACCGTCTACTTGCTTTTCTATCCTGGGAGCTGTTTCAGACCCTCTCTTGCTCCAGGCTGTGGGAATCCCACCCTGCTGCCAGCAGGGGAGGGGATATTTTGGACCTCAAGCACCGATCCCAGTTGAGCCAAGCATTCCTTAGGGTGATGAGGACACACCTCAGGGTCTGGGGAGGGGCAGGGCTCACAGCAGCCTGAACTGGGGCCTTTTCCCCCAAAATCTCCCCACCAGCACTTCCCGAGGCTGCTGTGTTCTGCCAACAGCCTGGGCTGCCCCAAACCTCTGGGGTTGCTCCCAGTTTGTTGGGTTTATGGTGTTTATGCAACGTGTCCCAAAGGGATCAAGGTGCACAGAACCTTCTCCCTTTGGACACACGTGTTTTCCATGGATGCTGTCTGTTGGTACAGAGGGGGTTTTTGCCAAATATTCCTACTTCTTAGGCTTGAACCAGCACATGATTTGTTTTCTGCTGCAGTGCAATGCACCTTGCTTGGAAGGATCAGAATTTTTTACAGTTCTTTGTACTGTTTTTCTTTTAATTTTCTGTGTGGTGAAATCAGTAAATGGATTAAAAGAGACACAAAAGGTTGAATTTTCACTTCTCTCTTGGTATTGTGTTTTTTTTCACGTTCTTTGCATGGTTTTCATTGACACCTGGCACCAAAGGTGCAGGGTGGCTCGTCTTTATGCAAAATAAGATTTTTTTATGAAAAGCCTTGCTTCTGTGGAGCTGTCTGTGCTCAGAGCTCCGTGTGCAGCCGGAAGGAGCCCAGACAGGCCCGGGCCAGAGCGGATTTGAAGTTTCCAGTCTGCTTTCCAGGGCCCAGTATCAGCCCAGCTCCACTGGGTGCTCTCAGGTCAGGGCCCAAGAGGAGATTAAACTGTTCTGGACACAGCTTAGTCCTGAGCTCTGCTCTGGGATTTCTCCCTTCTCCTGCAGAGAGCCCCCGAGGGCAGTGCCAGCATGTCCCGGCTGGCAGGAGCAGCAGCAGCTGCGACACTGGAGAGGCGTGGAACAGGGGGAGAAGGTGCCCAGGGCACTCTGGGGAGGGGTTCCTGCCAGCAATGGAAGAACGTCCCTCCTTTCCCCCGCCTCCTTTCCCTCCCAGGAGGAAATCCCGCCTTCCCCTCTCCTCCAGGCCTGGCTGGGAGCAGGGAGGGCTCCTGGCTTTCCTGGGGGTGCGTTACTGACAGCTTGCAGGAGGAAAAAAGGGTGGAAAGGGGGGGTCACAGGAAGAATCCATGGGGATGTGGGGTTGGCAGAGACCTTGCAGAGCCCCCAGTTCCCAGCCCTGCTGCCAGGGGCTCAAAGCACTGCTCTGCTCTGTGTCCTTAGGGTGATTTCCCAAAACCCCCCTGCACTGTGCTCCCAGAGCTCGTGAACCCCCGCCTGCTCCCACCCTGGTCTCAGAGGGCTGGAAAGGCCCCAGAATGCTTTGGCAGGCAGGACAGGTCCTGTGCCTGGTGCAGGAAGCACTGGGGGCATCCCGGGGGTGGGGAGTGCCCGTGGGGTCATGTGGGGGTGGCTGCCCCCGAGCCAAAGTCCATGAGGGGAAGTAATGTCAAATAAAATCAGAAATGCTTTGCCAGCTGGGTTGGGCTCTGCTTATCGGGGCAGGATTGAGGCATTGTGATAGAGGCAGTTCAGCAGAGAGGCCCTGAGGGTGGAGGAGCTTTCATGCATGAGAAACTGGGTGAAAGCAGGCACAGGGCTGGGGCTGTGCCCTTCAACCCTGCTGCTGCTCTGCAGAGAGAGCTCTGCACCAGCTGGGGCTGGGCTCTGCTCACAGGGGACAGGATGGGAGGAAATGGCCGCAGGCTGGGCCAGGTTGGGTGCTGGGAAGATTCCTCCATGAAAACAGCAGTCCAGGCCCTGAGCAGGGGTGGAGACCCCATCCCTGGGGGATTCAGCAGCTGTGTGGATGTGGCACCTGGGGACATGGGGCACTGGTGGCCTTGGCAGTTGGACTTGGTGGTCTCGGGGCTTTTCCAGCCCAGAGGGTTCCAGGGTTCTGTGAAATGCTGCTGCAGCCTCTCCCTGACCTCCACTCTGGCCCCCTGGCCTGCAAACCCCATTAACCTCCCCGGGTTTGTTTGATCTCATCTTCCTCTCCTGAAAGCTTTGAGTCCTGCACGGCCTCCTGGGCAAACAGCTGAACCTGGGCTGATCTCACAGCAGGTATTTTCCTTATGGGCAGGGCACCAGCCAAGCAAACACATCAGCTTTGCCTCTGCATGACAAATTCCATGGCCTGGGACCGTTTGTGTGGATTAAAAAAACACCAACGTGACTGAGATGGCATTTGCAGGGTTAGAGCTCTTTGGGGTGAGAAAAGCAGGAGGAGAGGCAGGTTTGGGTCTCCTTGGAGCTGCAGGGGGAAGGTTGGGTGTCACTGCACTGTTCTGGGCCTGAATCAGATGTTTCTGCTCTCCAGAGGGTCCCTGGGAAGAGGACCTGGCTCTTCTGCCAGGGATCCAGGGGCAGCCCCAGCTGCTCTGGGCACCCTGTGCCAGGGCCTGCCCACCCTCCCAGGAACAATTCCCAATTCCCAAGATCCCATCCAGCCCTGCCCTCTGGCACTGGGAGCCATTCCCTGGGTCCTGTCCCTCCATCCCTTGTCCCCAGTCCCTCTCCAGCTCTCCTGGAGCCCCTTCAGGCCCTGGAAGGGCTCTGAGCTCTCCCTGGAGCCTTCTCCAGGTGAGCACCCCCAGCTCTCCCAGCCTTGCTCCATGGCCTGCTCAGGACCCACTCCAGAAGCTCCACAACCCTCTGGTGTTGGAGCAGAGCTGGGGGAGCTCTGCAGGTGGGGTCTCACCTGGCTGGAGGTGCCCAGAGCAGCCTCCCCAGTTCCCTGCTGTGCCCCTGGGCTCCTCGAGGGCCTGCCTCTGGCTGATCTCTCCTGGCAGAGCTCACCTTCTCTGCAAATCCCATCCCATCACTGAATTATCTCTCTGCTCAGTGATCTAATCCTCTTTGCCAGATCAGCCTTCAAGCCTCTTTCCAGGGCTCCTTTCCAGCACGGTCACACTATTCCCTGCTCGGTCACTCACACTGCTCAGCCGCTGGCTCCGGGCTCTGTTTTTCCATGCTTCCATGTTTTTCCGTGCACCATCAGCACATTCCATCCTGCTTCCCCTTCTCCCTCACAACCCCCAGCCCCGCTGACCCATCATGAGGCACAAACCCCAGGAACATGATCACTATTTTATTGCTTCCAGTCTCACGTGCTTCCCTTCCCATCTGGAGAGGACTTTCATCCTGTTCCCAAGCTTTTACCAGCAGACAGAAGGACTTTGTGGCTGCTAAAGGAGCATCAGCTTGTTCCACAGATGCCTTGGGGCAATGGGGGAGAGCAGCACCCGAACACTGGGAATTCTGGAGGGCTGGGGTCCTGCTGCTCCCAGGAATGACTCTGGAAGCACTGGACAGCCTGCAAGCTCTCACACAGCTCTGGGGCTGCAGGTGGAGGTGGCATTGGCTGGGGTCAGTGATCCTGATGGGATCAAGCAGCCACAGGAGCTGCTGGTGCTCCTGTTTTGGGGTTATCTTGACTTCTCTCCTGGCCACAACAGCTCCTGGGGACTCCCTTCATGGCCAGGGCCCAGCACTGGACACGATGGTGGAAGGGGATGCATTTTTTTGGCAGGGGTGAGGTCCAACACAATCTGTCTGGGAATAGGAACAGCATCGCCCTGGATGAAATCCCTCAGCTTGGCACAGAGACGGGTCTGCTACAGGTGTGTGGCGGCTGGGGTGGTGTGCTGGGGAGTAGGGGCCCTGCTGGGGCATGGCAGCCTTTAGTCTCCCTTCTTGGCGTGGGCGGCCTGCAAGCGCATCTTCAGCCTCGCCACGTCCGCGTACAGGTTGCGCTTGAGGACGGTGCTGGCGCAGATGATGGCTCCCTGCAGGGCCCCCATGAAACCCCCCATGCACAAATCCTGCCCTGCAAGGAGGGTGCAGCAGATGAGGTCCCCCTGAGAGCAGCCCTCGGTCCCCGCTCCATCCCAGCCAACCATCAGGGGTGGTTTGGGCATCACCTCCCAGCTGCCCCCACACCATCCTTGGGCTCTGAACCACAGCCCCCTGCCCTTGTCTCCAGCAGGAAATCCCCACTGTGCCCTGGGCAGGGAGACGGCCCCCAGAGCTGGGGGAGCACAGCCCTTCCCTCCTCCCCTGGGACCACGGAACTCTGCTTTTCCAGGCGTTATCCCACTGCCCCACGGCGGCTCTTCCCGTTATTCCATTTCAGGATTGCAGGTTTTCCCCGCCCCATCCCGCTGCCCCGGAGCTGTCCTGCTCTGAGGATGCTGGTGGCCCTGTCACCTGTCAGGTAGAGGTTGGGCACGGCCGTGTCCGCCCGCAGGGCGGCAATGGCCTCGGCCTGCAGGCGGGGGATGCCGTGGTCAGCGCCGTAGAGCTCGCCGTGGGGACTGGCAAGGTAGTGCTGGTTGGTGAGGGGAGAGCCACCCGAGAGGTACTCGATCTGTGGGGGACAGGGACAGGGTGGTCATCCTGGGATGGCCATCCAAATCTGCCCAGCTTGGATGGGGATTGGAGCAAGCTGGTCTGGTGGAAGGTGTCTCTGCTCATGATGGGGTGGAACTGCATGAGCTTTAAGGTCTTTTCCAACCCAAACTATTCCAAGACTCCATAGTCATTGGGTAGGTAGAGGGGAGGACCCCTGAGCCCCGTGTTTCCTCACCCGGCCCTCGATGCGAGGGTAGAGCTTGTAGACAGTCTGCATGATGGCATCCACAAAAGTCTTCTTCAGGTCCTCATAGTCATCCCCCCTCTTGTGGACCTGCTTGTCCTTCCACTCCTCGAACCACTCGTACCTGGCGAAGGTGACGATGGCCAGCGTGGATTTTCCTGCAGGAGGACAAGGCTGGGGTGCTTGTCCCTCTGCCCACCCTCATCCCACCCTGTCGCTGCCCCAAATCTGGGGGATGTCTCCAGATCTTTGGGGTTCCATGTCCTTCATCCAGGCACCCCAAAGACTGCATTCCATGAGCCCTGCCCAGCTTTGGGATGGATGCCCGAGTGGAAACTCCTTGTTTGGGATCACCAAACCCCATCAGGAGTTTTGAAACCCCTCGCAAGCGTTTGTGGCTGGGTGTCAGCCTCACCTGGGTGCCTCATTTCCCAGGTGGGGTCCTTGGACGATGGCGAGGTGACAAAGAGCAAGGGGATGTTGTTGGCAGCTTCTTCTCTGGAGGAGGCCAGGTAGCGCCGCATGCTGCACGAGAGGGAAGGGCTGAGCTGGGGCCCAGGCACAGCTCCCCCTGAGTCACTGCCCAGGAATCCATCTCCTCACGCTCAACCAAGCACATCCAAGGGGAAGCCAAACCTACATTCCATCCAGGTCATTCCCTGGGAACATGAAGTAGTTGATGGGCTCCAGCCCCAGCTCCTCCCTCGAGCCGCTGAGGCCCACGAAGACGGTGAAGCCCCCCTCGCCAGGGCTCAGCATGTGGAGCTGGGCCTGGATCTCTGCAGCGTGGAGGGAAAAAGGGCAATTAGAGGGGGCAATCAGGCTTTTCTAGCATCCTCGGATACAGAGGAGTGGTTTCTGCAATCCTGGTGCTTTCCCACCAAACCCTGACCCTTCCCACCCACACAAACCATCCCCTTGCCACTCAGCTGTGACCCTTCCACCCAATGTGCCCCTTCCACCTGGCTGTGCCCCTTCCACCTGGCTGTCACCCTTCCACTTGTGATCCTTCCACCTGACTGTGACCCTTTCACCTATGCCCCTTCCACCTGACTGTCACCCTTTCACCTGGCTGTGACCCTTCCACTTGTGACCCTTCCACTTGTGACCCTTCCACCTGACTGTGACCCCTCCACCTGTGACCCTTCCACCCAACTGTGCCCTTTCCACCTGGACTGTGCCCCTTCCCAAGCACCTCTGTCCCCTTCCCCCCATCCTTCCCCCTTCCAGAAGATTTTCTAGGACACTCCACCAGCTCCCGCGAATTTCAGGGCCCTGCACTGTGTATTTTAGGAAACCCTCCCACCAAACCAGGATTTCCCCAGCCACAGCCAGTTTGGGCCAGTTAATTTAAGCAGAATGAAACCCCCGCGAAGAAAGGAGCGGCCAGGGCTGGGTTTTGCGGGCTTGGCACAGGAGCGCCGGGGGGTTTGCAGGGTTAATTGGTAAATCGGCTTTCCCCCGGGGCTCCGGGCGGGATTTAACGCCGCAACCCCGGCGGAGCCCGGCGCTGACGCCGCACCCGGCAGAGCCCGCGCCTCCGCCGGCAGCAGCCGCTCGTAGGTGTTGAAGATCCCGGCGTCCGAAATGACCACGGGAGCAAAGATATCCACGGAATCCTGGCCTTTCCTGACGCTCACACCTGGCAGGGGGAATCCAGAGGGGGGAGAATGAGGTGCTGGTGAAAGGAGCCCCCCTTCGGGAGCGGCCCCGTGGCCGGTGCTCACCGCAGGCTCTGCCCTGGGCGTCCAGCAGGATCCTCTGCACCGGCGCCTTCCCAAAGACGTTTCCTCCGGCCCTGCGGATCACGGGGATGGTGTGGAAGGCGATTTCCCCCGCCCCGCCCTTGGGGTACCAGGCGCCGTGCAGGAAATGATTCACCAGGATGCTGTGCATGGAGAAGCTGGCCTTGGAGGGGGGCACACCTGGGAAAAGGGGTGGGTGTGGGCAAATCGTGGGCTTGGAGCTTATCCTGAACGTTTTAAGATGAAGAACACTTTGTACATTCCCTTGTACAGGAATGATGTCAGCCCATGGGGAAGATGAAGAACGCAGAGGGAAAGAGATGGAGATGAGCAATGGGGACGTGTCACCTGCCAGTGACTTGGGGACAAGGATGCTGGTGAAGCACCCACCAGAACATTCCTGCCAACCTTCCAAAAAGGGGGTTCTTACCTTTTTCCTGTTTCTAAAGAGCTTAACGTGACCCCAGGGCCTCCTGGTCACCTACCATAGGTGGGGAAGATGTAGCTGAGGACAGCCCGGAGCTCAGGGTTGGGGGTGAGACCATCCACCACCTCCTTGAGGCTGCGTGAGGCCAGCTGGGAGAAGGAGCAGAGCCGTGGGAGCAGCCTGGAGCAGGTCAGGAGCTTGGCCAGGAACCTCGGGAGCATCTTCAGGATCCCCAGCAGCACAACCCCACGGCCAGCACTCTGCAGGGAGAAACAGGGGCTCAGACATGCCCCAGACGTGCTCCAAAGCAGTTTTTCCCCTTGAATTCACTGCTGGGGAGCTGTGGGCAAGGGGAGTGAGTACTGGCTCCCTCAAAAACCTTCCCTCAAAAACCTCCTTCAAGAGAAGCTTCCGCCAAAAACTTCCCCATTGAAACGCCTCCAGAGAGTTCCTCCCAAAAAACTTCCCCAAAAGTTGCCCCCAAAAAAGTGGTTCTTGAGAAAAACTTCCTTAAAGACCTCCACCCCAACTCCTTAAAGAACTTCTTCTTTAAAGAAATCTCCCCCAAACTTCCGTGATGCTGCATTTTTGAGGCAGAAAGGGGCGATTTTGCCCGATTTCGAGACTGGCGTGTTTCCCCACGCTTTTGGGGTGATGCCATCATTCCCTGGGGGTGCCCAGCTCCAGGTGCCAGGGGGGCTCCCCTCGCTGTGTGACCCCCCAGACCCAGGCTCCCCTGGTGCTACCCCACCTTCACCAAGCGCTGGAACTCGTCGATGGCCGCCGCCTCCCCGGGGAACTGCTCCTTCAGCCTCCGGAAATATTCCCTCTCCCCAGAGTGGATGTGGAAGGTCTTGCCAGAGCCCCGGGGGTCCCCCAGAACCACGGCATCGTAAGTGGCCGGCAGCGGGGCCCACTCCAGCTGCCCATCTGTCAGCTGGTCCACCAGGAACCGCATCAGGGAGCCCTCCTGCATCTGCCCCACGTAGTGGATCCCTAAAATAGACATTTTTTCCTTTATTTTCCTTTTTTTTCCTCTATTTTCCTCTTTTTTCCCTTATCTTCACCTTCTTTTTTCTTTCATTTTCCCACCCCAGGACACACCAAACCCACCATCCCCACCCCATCAGCTCCACGTGGAAAGGGAAAATCTGGGATGCACCTGCCTCCCAGCTGGGGTGAATGGCACTGACCACAGTGTCTTTATGTGGTAATTTTGAGTTTTGTTACACTTTGCTATCCATCTCTGCTGTAAATAATCAATCCCAGTGATTCAGGGACATGCAGAGCTGGACTTTGTCTCACCACAAGAAGTTTTCCAGCAAGAAATGTCCTGAGGTGACATCCCCCAGGCTGGGAACCACACAGGGGCTGGCTGTTGGGAATTTGGGGCTTTGGTATCCTACACCCAGAGGGTTTTGGGGTGAAAAGCAGCAGAATGGTTTGTGTAACAGGAGCTGTGTGCAGGGGAGCTCCCACACAGCTGTGGGGAATTTTGGGGGTTTAGTGTCCTGTACCCAGAGGGTTTTGGGGTGAAAAGCAGGAGAATGGTTTGTGTAACACGAGGAGTGTGCAGGGGAGCTCCCACCCTGAGGGTATCCCCTGCCCCTCCCTGGGCTCCGGGGGATTTGGGGCCCCGAACGGTACCGGTGTCGAACTCGAAGCCCTTCTCGGTGAAGGTGTGGCAGCAGCCCCCCAGCTTGCCGTGCTGCTCCAGCACCAGCACCCGCCGGCCCGCCTTGGCCAGCAGCGCCGCGGCCGCCAGCCCGCCGATGCCGCTGCCCACCACGATGGCATCGAGCTCCGCCGGCACCTTCTCTGCCGAGAACACTGCGGGACACGGGGGCGTCACCGGCGGGATCCCCACGGAGGAACGGGGACCCCCGGAACCGCCGTGAGAGGGGGGACACTGGGGGGACAATGCCACTCTGGCGGGGTCCGTGACACCCGGGGTGACAATGCCACCCTGGGGAGAGGGTCCATGACACTCGGGTGGTGCCACCCCGGGGGATGTCGCTGCGGGGAGTTAATGGCAGCCCGGCGTGGTGGTCCTGTCCCGAGGATGATCCACACCCCGGGCTGGCGATGCTACCCCGGGTCTGATCCCGCCGGGGGAGTCGGTGCCCCGGGGGTCCCGTACCTGTCTTGACGACGGTCCTGCGCACCGCCTTGTCGGTGACGAGCGGGCCGGGCGGGCGGCGGCTGTCGGTGGCGAAGGGGTTGCGGCTGCCCGAGCCCCGCAGGAGCACGAGGGAGAGGACGACGAGGAGGAGGAGGAGGAGAAGGGGGGCGAGGAAGAGCAGCGCCTGCAGCCCCATGGTCCTGCGGGAGCCCCGCTGTGCCGGGAGCCGGGAACAGCGGCGGGGACGGGAACAGCGGGCATGGGGGTGGCTCCGGCGGGGGCGGGGGGACCGCGGGGAGGAGCGGGGGCGGGCACTGGGAGCTGGGACCAGGAAGTGGCTTTGGGCACCGGGAGTTGGTCCTGGGCACTGGGAACTGGGACTGAGCACCGGGAGCTGGTCCTGAGCACTGGGAATTGAGACTGGGCACTGGGAACTGGGACTGGGCACCGGGAGCTGGTCCTGAGCACTGGGAATTGAGACTGGGCACTGGGAACTGGGACTGGGCACCGGGAGCTGGGACTGGGAAGTGGCATTGGGCACCGGGAGCTGGGACTGGGAAGTGAGAGCTGACACTGGGCACCAGGAGCTGGCGCTGAGAGCTGGCGACACCGGGAGCTGGCACTGGCATACTGAGAGCTGGGACTGGCACTAGGCGGTGGCACTGGTGTCGCCAGGTCTGGTCGCCCCTCTGCAGGCTCCGGGAGCCCCGAGTCCCGTTCCGGGCACCCGCCCCGTTCCAGCTCCGCCGTTCGGGCCGCGCCTCCGCCCCGTGCGCCTCCGTTTCCGCGTCGCGCGACGCACGAAGGGAATTGTAGTCCCGCGTGCCATCCCTAGCGGGCGGAGGTGCGGACTACAGCTCCCGGCGTGCAGCCCGGTCGCGCCTGCGCAGTGCGGTGGCCTCGGGCTGGGGGAGCTAGAGGGGTCAGAGGGGCTGGACGGGAACGGGTCTGGAACGGGCTCCTGAGGGGCTGGACCGGGTCTGGAACGGGTTCCTGAGGGGCTGAGACGGGCTCCTGAGGGGCTGAGACGGGCTCCTGAGGGGCTGGGGGCGCCGAGGGCAGCAGGAGGCTCCTGAGGGGCTGTCAGTGGCCGGGACGCCCCCGTTCTCACCAGCCGGTGCCCTTCTCTCCCGCAGGCCATGAGCGGCGCCGCGGGCTCGGAGCGGCCGGAGGAGCGGCCGGAGGAGCGGCAGCGCGTGGTGCCCCCGGCAAGTCCCGTCCCGAGCGTGTCCGGCCGGAGCCCCCCCAGCCGAGACCCGCGGCGCCCCCGCCTCAGGGGTGCCAGCCCCCCACTTCCCTCCTTTGCTCCATTTCTACCGTTACAACCACATAAAATCCTCCTGAGGGTGCAGACCCTCCCTGAAGGGGCCCGAGCCGGGGAGCACGGGGGTGTTCCCTGGGGAAAAGCTTGGGATTGGGGTGGGCTGGAGTTTGGGGTCTGCCGCGGGGGTGACGCTGTGTTTGTTCCCTCTGTCCCCCTCAGATTCCAGCTCTGGGGCAGGGAGGTGTCCTGCAGGAGCTGGTGCTTGCAGAGGGGCAGCCCCCTGAGCCTGGTGAGCTTTTCCTGCTTCCCTTGGATCGGTCCTGGCGTCTCCTGGTGGGAAAGTCACCTGCGAGCGCCCAGGGATCAACCAGGGAGGGATCTCTCATTCAAATCCGTCTGGTCCCAGATCATTCCCCGAACTCACCCAAAACAAACCTTGTGGGGTGGCTCCGGTTGGGATTTTCCTTGGAAAAAAGGAAACACAGCCCTAGGGTGTCCCGAGGGGGGCTGGGGGCAGCTCCCACTCCGTGCCTGCCCCCAGATCTGACTCTTGTACCCCTTCCCTCGGGCAGGGATCGGCGAGGAGCAGCGCCAGGCCCAGGAGGAGTGGGAGGCTCTGGAAGAGATCCAGTCAGGTATTGGGACTAACTGGGAAGGAGGAAAGGGATGGGTGGGGGCGAAGCGGGGCCGTTATTTGGGGTCAGGGGATGGAGAAGGCGGGAGGTTCCTTTTTCCCCTTGTTCCCCGCGGCTTCCTTCTCCTGGAACCGGGGATCATTCGGGGTGAAATCAGGGTCTGACCCGCTCCCTGCCTCCCTGCAGGGCCGGGGGGCACCTTGGGCGCGGCCCCCCCTCCGATTTCCTTCTCGGAGGCGCTGCAGCACTTCCAGAGCGCGGAGCTGCCCTCCAGCCGGGTACGGCCGGGCTCCGGCTCCGTTCCTTACCTGGAGAGGGGCACCAGCCCCCGCCCCGCCTCCGCCGCGCTCCCTGAGCGCTCCGGGCTCTTCTTCCTCCCGCAGGGCACGGCCCGGGCTCCGGGGCGCCGCGGCATCCTGGCTGCCCTGCTGCGCTGCCTCCGCGGGCCGCCCCGGCTCCGCCCGCAGCTCCGCGGGGAGCAGGAGCTGGCGCTGGCCATGGCACAGTGTGAGTGGCCCCGGGGCGCCCTTCGTGCCCCGCTGGATCCCATCCCTGCTCCCCGGCCCTTCTGCCCCTCAGTCCGGGGGGAATGGGGTGGGAATCACCCGCTCCCCTGGCATGCGGGGGGCACACGCACATGGGAACCCTGGGCCTGTGGGTTTTGGGGGCCAGTGGCCTTTTCTGGGCACCGAGGGGGTTTTTCAGGCGCCAAGCTGTGCTTTTTAGGTGCTGTGAGGGTGTGGGTTTCATTTTGGGCACTGAGGGACGTTTTCTGGGTTTTTTAGGGTGTTGAGGGGTGAGTTTGGGGGTTTTGAGCACCAAGAGGCATCTTTTGGGTGCTGAGGGGTGTTTTTGAGAAACAGGGGGGATTTTTAGGCTGCCATGGGGCTCGGGTTTGGCTGCTGAGGGTTTACAATGCCAAGGGGCATTTTTAGGTAACAAGGGGTTTTTTTGGAGGACGTGAGGTGTTTTTTAGGCCCCAGTGAATGTTTTTGGGGGCCAAGGGGTGTTGTTGGGGCACGGAGAGATGTTTTTCAGACGCCAGGGCTGTTGTGAGCAGCCGGGTGGTGTCTCCCTCCTGCAGGTGCCCTGGATGACTCGGAGCGGGTGCACATGCGGATCCTGCAGACCATCTACCGGCAGCTGACGCGCTCCAGGCTGGGCTGCCCGCGCTATGGGGCACACTGGGAGGAGCTGGGCTTCCAGGGTAGCACAGGGAGCACCCCTCTGCCTGGGGACATCCCCAAAATCCGTCCAAACCTCCCCTGGAACCTCCCCGTTCCATCCCAGTTCCCTCAGGCACTCCCTGTGCTCCAGAGCCAGCTCCACTGGCCTCCCTTGGACATACTCCAGCACCTCAATGTCCTCCTTGGACCCCAAAACTGGTCCCAGGCTTTGATCACCCCAATCCTCCCACTCCTCTCCATATCCCTACAAAATTCCCAGGGGCACTCTCAGTCCCTTTGACCATAGAAGAATTAAACCAAACTGGCTCCAGTACCACATCTGGACCGGGTTGCTGGGTCATCCCAGTACCATGTTCCTAAAACAGCTGGTAATTCCTGGAGAGGTGTGGGATGGTGGGGTGGGGCAGGGGCTGGTTAATGCCCAGATGGGTGAGGTGATGGCCCCATCAGGGAAACGCCCTGCAAGCTTTCCCTCAGGAAAGGGAATCCCAGGATTGCTGGACTCTGGAAGCGCAGTGGCAGGGAGTACAGGGAGCAAACAGCCCGTGGAGGTGGGAAGGGGGCAGGGGTGACTCCAGGCTCTCTCTCACCCTCCCAGGTGCAGATCCTGGGACTGACCTGCGTGGGACAGGAATGCTGGGGCTGATGCAGATCCTGTTCTTTGTCCTGGACTCCCGGACGCTGCCGCTGGCACGGGAGATCTTCCAGCTCTCCCAGCATGAAACCCAGGCATGACCTTCCCCTTCCTCCCTGCCAGGGGGTCTCCCTTGGAGTTCCCAATGCTCTGGGAGAGGGAAGAACCAAAACCTTCTCTTCTGAGTTTTTTTGGGATGCTGAAGCAACCTTGTGCTCGTGAGGGGAAGAAGGTGGTGCCCAAGAGCCCCAGTCTAGGCTGGAGCAGAGCTGTATTTATGCTGGGAATGGGATTTTAGGGATCTGATACTGGCTTGGAGCAGGATAAACAGGCTGGAGAGCTGGGCAACAGAAAAATGGGAGTGAGTAGAGACATTTTAGTCTGGGTTTGAGCCTGGGTACAAGATAGGCTCAGCCCTCAGCATCCATCCAAGCCAGGGGTCTGTAGGGCTGTTATCCCAGTGTGTGGATCCCATCCTGTGGATTTGTGGATGCATGGACGCAGTGTCAAAAGGCCAGAGGTGCCAGAGAGGAGGAGAGTTTTTCAGCTGAGCTTCTTTAATGCTGGGATTGTGGTTGTTTTCCAGAATTTTCCCTTCTGCATCATGTCTGTGAACATCACCCGGATCGTCATCCAGGCGCTGCAGGAGGAGCGGCTCTCCCGGTGAGCGGGGTTGGGCTTGGGCTCTCAAGCTGCATCCTGGGCTGTTCCCCTGCCCAGGAGGTAGCTGAGCCCTCTCCTGCTGTAATAATAATCAGAGGGGACTCAGTTTCTTCATGCAGAAAAGCCAATTCTTTATTCACATAACTCATTTTACACAGTTTTCATCTATCTCGTGTGTAACTCCAACTGGCTGGTAGTTTTCTTGCTAATCAATTAATTGGTTAAAAAGTGCCTGTGTCTGTAAGACTCTCTCCATCTACAAGTGTCTACACTTAGTGGATTCTCATGGGACAGATCAATTTTTATGGACAGATTTCTATTTCCCTCCAAGAACAGGTGTCTGTGCTAACAGGCTTTTCACTCCCAACATTCTTCCGCACGGAACCTCCAACCTATCGCTCTCTTAGCTAGACCAGCAGGGCCTAAACCACATTTTTAATTACCTATAACAGTTTGAATTGTCAGTAATGCCTGTGCTCCCCTGCAGGGAGTGCAACCGGCGGCAGCAGGTGATCGGGGTGCTCAACGACCTCTACGCCGCCGCCTTCCTGCGCCTCTCGCGCCTCTGGGAGCAGCAGCACGGCACCGTGGCCAACGCCGGCTCCTTCCTCAAGGGTTCGTCCTCACAGCTGCTCCTTCCCCTGCCCGCTGGCGTTCCCAGTTCAATCCCCGCACTGAGGGTTTTCCAATCTTCCCTGTCCCAGGGATAGTTTTCCTCACGTTTTCCACCCCAGGGGGATGCTCGAGGTGGGTGACACGTGGGGACATTCCCTGCTGGGAGCCATGGCTTAGCCCCTGTCTGTGAATTACTTACTCCAGAGAGGAATGCTGTCAGTGGGAGCAGTGTATCCCTCAGAAACCCGGATCCAGCTGGCACTGCTGGGCTCCAGCTTCACCCCATCTCCCCTGCACCCCAATTTTAGGGTGCTCAGGCTGGCACTCTGCTCCCTCATCCCAAGGAAAGCACCAGCCTGCCCTTTCCCAAGGGAAGATGTCAGGACACCAGATGTTTTGGACCCTTGGCACCATCCAGGCCTGCTCTCCTCAACCTTTTCCCCCTCTGACCTTTCCAGAGCTGGAATTATCCACCAAAAAGAAGCCGAGGCAGCTGCTGAAATCCCTGGAAGCCTACCTGAGCCGTGGCCTTCGGCCTCCCTCCCCTCCCTCCTCCCAGATCCACTTCACCAGCATTTGTGACCCTGGGGTGGAGCTGGAGGGAGATTCCTGACTGCTCTGACACGGAGTGGGACCTGCACAGGGAATTCTGCTGGTGGATCAGCCCTTGGAGGGACACACACCGGTGTTCCCCTGGCTTGGGGGCTCGGGAAGGGCCAGGAGAGGTCACAGAGCTGGGATTTTGCCTGCTCCAGGTGGAACTTTCTGGATCAAAGGAGGAGGAGGTGGTAGAGCAGGGGATTCTGTGAGCTGGCACTGGGATAGTCCCTGTCCCCACCCCAGATCCAGGGTCCCACCTGGGTCCCAGCCCCAGCAGTGCCTGGAATGGGTAACCCCCACTTTGGGGGGCTGTGTCAGACCCCCAGGGTCACTGTGGGCTGTCAGCACCCAAAAAGGTTGTTAAAGGGGGGAGACAAGGGATCTGGTGGGAAAGAGTTTAGGATTTGCCACTGGACTCTGTGTCTGGAGGAAAGAAAGGAGAACTGGGGGTGCCCAGAGTCCACTTTGGGGTGAAAAAGGTGTTCAGGAGGAGAGAAACAAGGGTTGAGAGCTCCAAGGAGGAGGGGACGGGTTATTCCCTCTGGGAGCTCAGGGCCAGTGCTTGGGAATGTCCCCAGGCCCCTAAAAATGGGGAAAAGCAGCCCCCAAAGCCCAAATCTGGAGAGAAATGAGGGGTTTGGAGAAGTGGGAGCTGGGGGAGAATGGAACTTGGTGGCCCCAGCGCCCCTGAGAGGGCAATGATTCCTGGAGGCTGGGAATGATTCTGGATGGAAAAAAAAATAAAATAAATAGAGAAAAAGCAGCCTGGAGTTGGGGTTTGCTGTCCTGATCTTGAGTTATTGTGGAAATTGGAGGGGGAATCCTTTTCAGGTGTTTTGGGGGAACAAAGATGTGGGGGGTCGGGGCCGTCTTGCACCTGTGGGAACACATTTGGGAGTGGTGTCTGAGATCTGGGATAAGAGGGGGATAGGAAAGACGAGAGAAAAGGGAAAAAGGATGGCATAAAAGGAGAATAAAAGCAAAGAGACAAGCAAAAAAGGAGGGAAAACCAAGAAAGAAATAGAAAGGACAAGGAAAAAGGGAGAAAGAATAAGGTGAGGAAAAAGACAAGAAGAAGAAGAAGGGAAAGAGGCTCCACCGCCCTATTCCTAGTTTATTGTTTGTTTGCCTTTTTCCTCTTTTCTTTCGTCCCCTCCTTTCTCTTTTTCCTTTCCCCCTTTTCCAGGGGTGGTGCCGGAGGTGCGAGGCCCCCGCCCCTCCGCAGGTGAACCGGGGCCGTCTTGGCCTTTCCAGGCCGCTGCACCCCGTGGGTTCGGAGCCGTGGGACGGACAGAGCTGGGGACGGGACGGGACGGGCCGGGGCTGGTGGCTGTGAGGTGGTGGCGACCGGGACCGGGACCGGGACGGGCCGGGAGCGGCGGCGGAGCTGGCGCGGTGTCCGCAGCGCTGCTGGGGAGCCCGGGGTGCTGGGGAGCCCCCCGGGGCCGTGCTGGGGCCGGGGCTGTCCCGGGCCGGGGCTGTCCCGGGCCGGTTCCGCCGGGGCCGGGCCCGGTTCCGGCCGGGGGCGGAGCGGGGCCGGGCCGGAGCGCGGGGCCTGCGGTGAGCGGGGCCGGGGCCGGGACCCCCAAAGGCTGCGGGGGCGGTGGGGCCGAGAGCCCCGGGCAGAGCCCCCCGGGCTGGGCAGGGCGGGCCGTGGGGCCGGGGCCGGGCCGGGGCCACCCCGAGGGGCTGCGGGGCCTGTGCGGGGGAGCTGCCCCCACACCTGGGCCTGGCGGGCCGTCAGGGTGGGCAGGGGCAAATCCTGAAATCCTGCTGGGGGTGTGAGGGGTCAGTGTGGGGTGTGTAACCCCTCAAACACCCCCAATTCCATAGGAATTTGTTCGTGTCTGTAGGATTTTCCCAGGACCCTCGAGCAGACCCAGGACCTCGAGCAGCCATGACACCCCCCAGGGTATGTGACGCCACACTCTGTGCCGCCATCCTGCCCCTCATGAATCCTCTCCAAATCATACCACGGTCTCCTCATTTTCCCCTTGTTTTTTTAGGAAATAAAATTCGTTAGCCCCACCCCTCAGAAAGGGAAGGGGGATCCCAATGTGGGGGCCAAGGAATTGGAACCCCGGTCTTCCAGGGTACCCCCAGATCCCACTGAGCCCCCTCAGGCCCATATTTCCCAGCTGATCCCACTGGATCTGTGTCTCTGACGGAGGGAAAACGCAGTACCCTCCCTTTGGGGTGCTGATCCCCCAGAACCAGATTAATTCCCCTGCATCCAGGTTGATCCAGGTCCACACAGTCACCAAAAAGTGCCACCAGCTTGTCCCAGCTAAAATTCCTTTATTCCTTGCCATAACTGAAACCCCCCCACATCACAAGCATGTTTTGGGGTGTATCCCCCCACATTTGGCATTCCCAGGTGCCCTTTCCCATTTTCCTTCCCCTGCTCAGATCCAGACGTGGCTCAGCCCCTCGTGCCCGAAGCTGGACGCGTTCGTTCCCTTCCTGGGCAAGTACCACCGGCCGGTTTCGGGGCGCTGCTGCCAGACCTGCACCCCCAGGAGCTGGGTAGGAGAGTTAGTTTGGGGTCCCAGGGCACCGGGGGCCTGCTCCTGCAGGGGTTTATTCCTGTTCTTCCTGCCAGGATGGATTCTACCCCAAGGACCTGGCCCCTCTGGGGTTCCGCGACGCCAGCCGCCTGACGGAGGCAGACACGCGGTGAGCAGCGAGGAGCTCCGTGCAGAACACTCCTGCACAAACGCGTTTTCCCCCACGTTTCACCAGAACCGAGCTCGTCAATCAGTTTTGGGAGGCTGGGGGGGCTCTGATCCCCAGGATGTCACCGTGTGTCCCCTCCAGGTTCCGGGGCTGGCTGGTCAGGAGGGTCTGTGGCTTCCTTGCGGCCTGGGAATGGGAAATTCCAGCGGAGAGCCCCGGGAAGCTCCTGGAGCGGATCTGCAGCAGCAGGAGGTGGGTGGGGGGCAGCTGGGGCCGCCCCCAGTCCTGGGGATCCTTTGGAGCCCAGCGAGGCTCCCTGCACCCCAACACGTGGGTGCTGGGTGCTCCCCCTGCCCTGCTCTCCCCAGGGTGCAGGATGCTGCCTCCAGCCCCGAGCCTGGCTCCAGAGGGGATGAGGGATCCCAGCGGTGCTGCAGGGAGGAGATCCGCCAGATCCTGGGGGAAATCCAGGCCCCACTGTCCCCCCTGCTGCTGAGGTCAGGGGACATTCTCTGGGGGATGGAGACAGATCCTTTTTGGGGATATTCTGGGATTTTGGGGGGCTGCACATGGATCCCTTGAGGGGTTTCCTGGAATCCTTTTTGGGGATATTCTGGGGGGATGCACATGGATCCATTGGGTGGCTTCCCACGACCCTTCTGGGGGATATGCTGGCATATTTCAGGAGATATTTTGGGATCCTTTGGCTGGCTGCCCTCAGGGTCCTCTCTAGCTCCTGGGGCCATTCCCCCGGTTCCTTCTGAGGAGCTGGAGTGGAAAAATCCAAACCTCACAGGAGGGATGGAAGCAGAGAAAACTTTCCTTTTCCTTTTCCCTTTCCCATCCCGTCAGTGACAACTGGGAATCCGGGGCTTCATTGCCTGTCTGATCCAGTGGGAATAAAGAGTACTTTTGAGCTGCTAAAGGGCAGGGATAAAGAATATTCCTGGGAATAAGGAATTCCTCGTGGAATAAGAGCATTTGGGGATCCCAAAGTGGGACAGGAAGATGGAGGGAATGCAGGATTCCCAGTGGCAGCTCTGGTTGCCAATGGAAAGGAGGATGTCTCATCACACACGTGTGATAAAAGTGGGAATTTTGAGCAGGGATTTTGGGGGTTTGGGACCCGGCAGAGTTCCTCATTGCCATTTTTCCCTCAGGCTGTGCCACTGGCTGCTCCCCAAGCTCCTGACGCGTGTGTTCCTGAGCGTGCAGCTGCACCGGGGGCAGCTGGAGATGGTGCTGCAAGCTGCCAGGACGGTAGGGAGCCCTGGCTGGGCCCTCGCCGCCCCTGGAACGCCAGGAATTCACCCCAGGATGCCTCCCTTGCAGCCTGAGGTGCCGCTGGTGTTCCTGTGCAGCCACCAGTCCCCGCTGGACGGGCCCCTGCTGTCCTTCCTCCTGCTGTCCCAGGGCGTGGGGCTGCCCAGGGTGGCCGTGAGCACCAGGACCAGCCCTCGCCTGAGGTAAGGCAGCACCAGGGATGCTCCCCGAGGATCCAGGGCCAAGCAGGGGTGGCCACAGTGCCCTTCTGTGACCGTGTTCGCAGGGGTTCTTGGAGTGGGGAAGAGACGAGGCTCTGACTCCATGTTTCAGAAGGCTGATTTATTATTTTATGATCTATATTACATTAAATCTATACTGAAAGAATAGAAGAAAAGGTTTAATCAGAAGGCCAGCTAAGAATAGAATAGGAAAGAATGATAAAGGTTTGTGGCTCGGACAGAGAGTCCGAGCCAGCTGGACTGTGATTTGCCATTAATTAGAAACAACCACATGAGACCAATCCCAGATGCACCTGTTGCATTCCACAGCAGCAGATAACCATTGGTTACATTTTGTTCCTGAGGCCTCTCAGCTTCTCAGGAGGAAAAATCCTAAGGAAAAGATGTTTCATAAAAGATGTCTGCAACCTCCTTCTATCGCCAGGTCCCTGCTCCAACGCCTGGGAGGGATTTTCCTGCCTTCAGGAATGGCCCCGACATGGAGTGACCGGGATGAGGGGCTCCCCGGGGCCGTGCTGGATGCGGTAGGTGCTGAAAAATCCCTCTGGAGCGCTCGGGGAGGTGCTGGCAGCCCCCAGCACCCGCAGCGTCTCCCCAGTACGTGCAGGAGGTGCTGCGGAGCCGCCAGCCCCTGGTGCTGTTCCTGGAGGAGCCGTCGGCGCTGCTGCGGCTGGCGGAGCCCGCCCGGCGCTGGCTGCTCCGCCTGCTGCGGGCGCTGCGGGACGGGGCCGTGCCCGACGCGCTGCTGGTCCCGGTGGGAATCGCCTACGACGTGGCTCCGGGCGGGCTGGAGCGGGCTGGAGCGGTGAGCGGGGCTCAGGGGGTCAGCAGCGCTCCCCAGAACCTCTGGGAAACGCTGCTCCCCTCAATCCCTGGGGAGATCCCTAGGGAGAGGCATAGCCCAATCTCTGTGAGCATCCCTGGGGAGGGGCATCCCCCCAGTGTGCCACTAACCCCTGGATGCCCTGTCCTGGCAGCCCCTGGGGCTGGGCTCGTGTCTCAGGGCGGCGTTCCAGGCCCTGCGCTGCCAGCACCGTGGCTGTGCCCAGGTGGATTTCTCTCAGCCGTTCTCCTTACGGGTACGCCAGCTGTGGATCCATCCCCTGCATCCACCCTGCCCTGGGAGACCCTTCCTGCGGTGTTGGTGGGCTTTGGGCTGTCTGGGGGCATCTGGAATCCATCCTGGGGATGTCTGTGCTCCTCCTCCCAGCCCTGGGGATCCAGGGTGAGCTCCTGGTGCTGAGGGCTGTGAGCACCCACAGGCTCCTTCATCCCCATCCCCAGGAATTTGTGGACAACAACCTGGTGGGGCCCATCCTCACAGGGAGTCCCCCGGAGCAGCTGCTGCTTCCCACCATCCTGGGCAGGGGGTGAGGAGCTGAGCCCCTTGGGGGCAGCATTCCCCTTTCCCCTGGGATCTCTGCCCTGGCCCTCTCCTCACCCCTCTCATCCCAACTTCCCAGCCCACCGGATGTGAGGAGCGTGGGGAATTCAGGTCCCGCTTTGGGGACCGAAGAGGAGATTTTGGTGATGGCGCTGGGGCTGCATGCACTGAGCGGTGAGGGGGGGTCCCTGCATCCCTCGGGATGGCATTCCCTGCTGGGAATGGG